TTCATTATGGCGTGGCCTGGCAGTGACTGAGATGTCTGGGTCAAGGCTGGAGGAACCAGTGAGGTCCCTCTGGGTGCTGAACATTCTACTTTAGAATGTTTGAAGACACACAGACACGGTCATTTTACCACCTGGTTTACATATGACTGCAATGGTTTCTGATTGTGTTGATTACTTCTGAACCAAGAGTGAGTGAGTGAGTGAGCTTGGGTTTACACCGCTTTTAGCAATGTTCCTGCAACATCACGGCGGGTGACACCAGAAATGGACTTCACACATGGTTCCTATGTGGGGAATCGAACCCGGGTCTTCGGCGTGACGAGAGAACGCTTTAATCGTTAGTCTGAACCAGGAGGGAGGTCGGGTAGCCTAGAGGTTAAAGTGTCCACTCGTCACGCTGAAGACTAAAAGTGGCTTAGTTACTCTCACTTTGAGCCTAGGTAGTACTGATCTAACTGTACACGTTTGTATATTGCTTTTCGTAAAGCCTATATCAAATGTGAATTTCTAACGACTGATACTGGCAGATAATTCGACACCTCGTAAAATGTCAAGAGACTTTGTTTCTTTGGGCGTCGTTGTACAAAACAGCCTTAGCGCTACGCCAGTCGTAACTCTATATTAAATCATGGGAGTTACGATCACCTTAGCACTAAGATCTCTTTGTACAACGGCACCCTGGAATGTAACAGCCCAATAATTAGACCTACCTCCAAGTGTCCCTAAAACACTCATATTCTAGTTGTATCGCGAGATACCAGTTTGTAGAAGGCTGACTCTTCCGATACATAAACGAAAGAGAAGGCCGATTTGTTTTGGCATTCGAAAGCCCCGCGACGAGACATTCGAGTTTTACAAGTTCCTATCAGTGAGTCAATATACGCATGTTATAGGGACTGATGTTGTTAGTTCATTATTGTATTATATGTTTGGCTGTGATCATAATAATGTTTGCAAATAGGGTTCGTGTGATCCTGATACTGTCAGGCTGATTAAACTACAATGCAGCACGGAGAGGTTGGGTGATCCTGGCATAGTCTGTCTGATTAAACTACAATGCAGCACAGAGAGGTCGGGTGATCCTGGCATAGTCAGTGTGATTAAACTACAATGCAGCACAGAGAGGTCGGGTGATCCTGGCATAGTCAGTCTGATTAAACTACAATGCAGCACAGAGAGGTCGGGTGATCCTGGCATAGTCAGTCTGATTAAACTACAATGCAGCACAGAGAGGTCGGATGAGTCAGTCTGATTAAACTACAATGCAGCACGGAGAGGTCCCGTGATCCTGGCATAGTCAGTCTGATTAAACTACAATGCAGCACAGAGAGGTCGGGTGATCCTGGCATAGTCAGTCTGATTAAACTACAATGCAGCACAGAGAGGTCGGGTGATCCTGGCATAGTCAGTCTGATTAAACTACAATGCAGCACAGAGAGGACGGGTGATCCTGACATAGTCAGGCTGATTAAACTACAATGCAGCACAGAGAGGACGGGTGATCCTGGCATAGTCAGGCTGTTTAAATTATAATGGAACACAGAGGGGTCGGCATAGTCGGGCTGGTAAAGCTCATCACCACTGCGAATTGGACTCCTCCCATGAAGCGCGGCTTTGTCGAACCCACCAAAAACTTTCCTTAGAATATGGAAACTCCCATCCACTGTAGTCTTCGACATTACCCGGAGTGTCAGAAGGGCTGTGCTCCCGGTGGAGAACTGGGACACACTCTTGATCTACGTCAATATATCAAGAAGTGCCAAACCAAACGCACCGAGAACATTGGGGTGTCTGACGACTGAACTGAACTGAACTGAACTGAACTTTAGTTCAACTCAGGCAGAGGCATATAAGGTTAAGTCTGTGTTACACACACACACACACACACATACACACACACACACACACATATATATACACATATACATATATATATATATCGATAAAGTTATGTACAGTATCTATACATTTAATACACAATACATTATATATATATACAAACATATATATACACATACATATATACACATACATACATACATACATACACACACATACACACATGTACATATATGCAAATAGATTTCATTACGGATAGAGTGAATATAAAATTCTTATATCTTATATCTACATATCTTTAGGAATATTTAGAGCACTCTTACCGACGATTCTTAAAAACATTTATAATAATACTGCAGAATAAAGCGAGTTTTCTAAGAATACCTATCTTACTGCTATTGAATAATGTATACATTTTATGAAAATTTGGTCTTGTATAAAAATATGGCTTTAAATATTTAACTCTTGCATTTATAAAGTGAGAACAAATAAATAAATAATGAAATTCATCGCCAATGCCGTTACCATTACAAAGTTTACATAATCTATCACGTTTTTGGATATTGCTCAAACGGCCTGTTTCAATCGGTAAGGTATGATTTGCTGTTTTATAACGTAACACTGCCCTTGAACACTTATCATTTAAAATATCCAAATATTTACTTAACTTTAAATCTGAGTTTGATAAGGAGCTATATAAGATACCTTTGGATGAATGTTCTACCACACTTGCTTATACGCATCTTCTAGTTCACATTTAACTTTATTTTTTAGCTTATTCAGGTTTTCAAAATTTTGGGAATATAATTCCAGATTTAACTAAGTCTAATTTCGTCAAACGTATGTTTAATGTTCATTATCCATTTATGCGTACTTTTTCCAAAATGTGTGTCGTTAAAAAGTAATTTAAAGATAAGTAAGGATAATTTGGAAGATTTACCTGTTAAAAGTGCACCTGTGATCCAAGCAAGACATCTCAAAGCTCAGGCCCGTATATTACCATGCTTTTCTTGAATATTGCAATTCACATTGCTGTCAAATGGGATAGTAAATTCAATAACATAACTATTGGCTTTATCAAAAAGGACAGCTCAGGTTTGTTGGCAGGAATTTTTGCAGGCTGTATATGGCCCTATTCCAAAGAAGTTTAAGAGCATGCATTGACGCCTTGGACATGTCCAGGGTCCTGGGTGGAACGCGGAGTCAACGCCACAAAGCAAGGGCAATAGAAGCAATGAGTCATGTCATTAAGATGCGATGTTTGTGCCAAGGAAGACATCCAATTCTTTACATAATCGACATTTCATATTAACATTCTACCAAAGAATTAGCTTTGGGCAAGTGCGAGTGGGAAGTGAGTGATCCTGGGAAGCAAAAAACAACAACAACAACTGTTTCACTTTAAAGACAGCCGATTTTATCCAGGCAAAATAATTGGTTGGATTGCTATTCTATTCCACACACTGCATACATACACATTGCTGTGGTTTCTCCAGAAGGACTAAAGGACCGACTCTGGACACCACACTCGGTGAATGACCTCCCCTGATGTACCATCATTGTCTTTCATTGTGTATATAATCAAGTGTGTTGTAATAACATTTGCTGAGACGTCATTAACCTTGTGTGGTTATTTACTGATTTTACAATATAGAACGGAATGTACCGAATACTGTCTTTCAAATTAAGAAACATCTGGAACATGCCTACATGCATTGTTTCCATGGCTTGTTATTTGATAGCGATTCAAACTAAATAATATCGGAAAGTAAGTTATTACTTTTGTCATAATAAACTGAAACAAACATTTTCAGTAATACTGACAGGTTTGGTTTGTTTGCGAAATATCTGACTCCAATATATTTTACCATTTGTACCACATGTCTGAAATATGGGACTGAGCATCACAAATGTACTTAAACATCCAAGGAGAACGAGTCAGATTGTTTTGTTACATATAACAATGCTATCCATTAGGAGCCAGGACGTCATTGTCTACAGACATATATATTGAGATGGGAGATGTCAATACTGAAGGTACTAGGTTGCCATGAAAATGGTATACAATTGGAAAAGAAAATTGGACATCAGACATGCGCTATTTAAAAAATCAAAACTACGTATTTCAATAATAACGACCCAATAATGTCCTAAAATGAGGTTCGTTACGCCAGTGTGAAAGCTGACTATTGTCTTACAATAATGAACCTAGCACAACGTATTTTGTGTCCATCAGTCCCAAAGTGAAGGAATACAGACAATCAAAACCTATTTTTGTAACCTTTGTTGAGCAGAATATGGACCCAAGTGTGATTGGTTACATGGTGTCAAGCAAGCTTATCAGTTGGTCGAAAGTTTTTGTTTAACATGAAACATTTTACCTATCAGCAGAGCCTTGAAAATCCGGGTTAGAATTATCTTCATTAACCTAAGGCTGCTAGAGGCGACTAACGGGGTCGGGTGGTCAGACTCGCTGACTTGACTGACACACGTCATCGTATCGCAAATTGCGTAGATCGATGCTCATGCTGTTAATCACTGGATTGTCTGGTTCAGACTCGATTGTTTACAGACTGCCGCCATATAGCTGGAATATTTTTGCGTGCGGCGTAAACCTAGTAACCTCACTCACCCACTCACCTATCAGCAGCTTTCGAAATATTACAGACATGCATTGGTTCGAGTTCTGTATTTTATTTCTTACAAACAAAGTATCTTCAACATCACGCCATGTATTTGTGTCTGTACAGTGAAAACAAAGTGCGTGTTGATGAAGCGTATGTAAAATGTGAATACTGTTGCTGAGAACAAGGGCGAAAACACCCTGCGGAATCAACATTGACCAGTGAATTCCGGAAGTCAAAGGTAATGGTAAACTTCCGTCAATACACAATTGTATTTAGTTACGTTTGTGTGATATGTTAATATGTTAAACACGTTTTAATCAGTAAGATACCTGTCTGGTAACGGTGTGCTGATGACTCAGTTCCACGTGAGAGTTTGGGGTCCACGGAGTCATACAGTTTGAAATATTATATACTCATGCCAATAAAACAAATGAAGGGGGTGACAACCATTATTGGCATGAGTATAGAAGGGGGTGACAACCATTTTTGGCATGAGTATAGAAGGGGGTGACAACCATTATTGGCATGAGTATAGAAGGGGGTGACAACCATTATTGGCATGAGTATAGAATGGAATATCAGACATATTCGTATAACATTGAAGAAGACTTGCTCAACTATCGGAGCAGGTGACATACACGATTAACTTATACAGACTATTAATGTTTCTGCTATGACAATTTCATCAGCATTGGGGTCTTACTTTTTACTTTCACATATATTCGAGATTCTAAATTGGACTGCTGTAAGAGTTAATGTCCTTTGCCACTTGAGATAATTCATAGTTAAATCTCAACACATATACTCATGTATTATGCATAAGTATCCACTATTCAAAAACACAGTAATGAAAAGTCGCGTCAACCAGTCAAATTGCAAACTAGGGTTATGTCAAGAAATGTGTGACATGTCACATGTTTACTTAAAACAACGCAGCAGATGCTAAAATAACAAAGGCATATGTAATAAGGTAACAGTCATATGTTAACATAAAACTATCCCACAAGTAAACTGATTATCAGTTCACGCCCTGTGTATTACTGTCCAGTGATCACATCCCAGGTCTTGTTTGGTTTACGTTTTCCCGTAGCCAGGATCTGAAAATGAATGAAATATAATCAAGGTCTGGAACATCATTAACATATTATCGAACAGAATGTACTAACATAGTCCAAGTGAAAATAGAACACTGTTAACAATATATTCTACATTAAAACAGAAAAGGCAGCCCAAGCTTCAGTTTGAGACTGTAAATCGGGTCGTGTGTACAATATGTTTGAGACTGTAAATCGGGTCGTGTGTACAATATGTTTGAGACTGTAAATCGGGTCGTGTGTACAATATGTTTGAGACTGTAAATCGGGTCGTGTGTACAATATGTTTGAGACTGTAAATCGGGTCGTGTGTACAATATGTTCTTTAATCTTTTTTTTCAAGGATCCTTGAAAAGGTGGTCTCCAGTAACCTATGCTTGTCGTAAGAGGCGACTAACGGGATCTGGTGGTCAGACGCGCCGACTTGGTTGACACATGTCATCGTATCCCAAGTACGCAGGTCGATGCTCATGCTGTCATGCTGGTTTGTCTGGTCCAGACTCGATTATATACAGACCGCCGCCATACAGCTGGAATGTTGCTCACTGCGGCATTAAACATCAACTTACCAACCAATCCTTTTTCAAATTTATAGATAACCTTAGTAGTGGTTACCTTGAGGTTGAGCGCCGCTGTTCTGGTATGGAGATGCGCTGATGGACTCGTATGGTACAACAGGCCTCTCTGTCATGTCTTCGTATGTACTTGCCTCTGCTTTGGTCTCAACTGAAAAAAGCGAGACACACTTCCAAATAACTTTTCATATGTTTTATACCCTTCTAAACGTAACACAACACTAAACAGAACATCTGAAATCTATAATAATGTAAATCTGTATCCATCTACCGTTTGTATTCTCATAAATCTTCAGCTGTGTGTAATGTTGTCTTTCCGAACCCTCTGTATCCATGCTTGAGGACTGAGCTGGACTGTTGATGTGATCTGTAACAAATCAACATGAATACATAAAACACGAGGTGTATGTCTATTTGTGACCACCTGTATCAAACCTGATATGTTGAACCTACCTAGTGATGAATATCCTATGTTTTCCATTTCTTCAGTTTCAGGATTTCTGGTGCTACAAAGGTAAAGCGATCGATTCAAATGCAATAATGGAAACGAACCTTCAGTATATGACTTTTAGATCTGATTTATCTGTGACAGTTTATTTACGAATGAAGTATACCTTTTTCGAGAAGCATTTTCTGAAAAAAAGAGAATGAACATTTAGTACACTGAAATAAACACATCACAAATGACGATTTGACAATTTGGATAATGTTGGTTACTGGTGCAGGGTTTGCAAAGGAAGACCGAGAAATGTGAAAAGTTAATTATAAATGAAAGAAAACATTCTGCTCTGAAGGATATAATGTATCATCGTTAATATATTCGCACCCCTGGATTTGCGCATTTGAGTCAGAACTGATTCACTGGTAACTTTGACATTCACCATAATAGTCATCAATATAGCCACTTTGATATGAAACATCTTTTTTATAAATATATCATTAAATACTTCATGATTATACTGCCAATACAATGAGATTTAACAACATACCTGTCATGACGTTTCCAAACCTGAACCCCTTCCTATAGAGGACAGCCAGAACTAGAGCTCCAATCAGTAAGGTAAGAAGTAGGGTTCCTATTGCGGTTCCTGCTATTACACCTGTCATGTTATATTCGGCTCTGAGTATTTGTGGGTTTGTGGGACCTGCGGATGAAATGAAATATATATTGACTGTATAATTACTGCGTTAGTACTGAGGCATTGTTTACCCTCTGTGTGACGTGTTTTACAAAAGTACCATCTACCTCGTCGATACAGCTACCTAAAGTGACACCTAAAGATAATGCAAAAGACATATCTATGCGTAATTGAATTTCGCTACAGCATCCACATACATCAGATGCTATATATCCTTCATATCTTAGTGTGGGGAATTGCTTTCTGTACTTATCAACCTCTCCAGATACAATAATACTAACAGCTGACGTTGAATGTCCTGACATCAGTGTAGTTGTATCCTCCATACTGCCACGCCCCCTGACACTGACACTGTTGACCATTCTGACTCCTGCTAACAGTAAAGGAGAGAGTAGATGTCCTTGTCTGACCACTGTCACTGACCGATGCAGATCCAGTGCCAGGACAGGACCACGTGATCGTAGCTAGAGGATTTCCTCCTTTTACCGAGCAGCTGATTGTCTGTGGGTCTCCTTCAAACATCAGAGCCGGAAACTGTGTGATGGAAGGAGGGACAGGCGGGGGATCTGTAACAGGAACAACCAAGATTGTATAAGTATAAATGAAGTATAAATGACATTGTATGAAGTATAGAAGTAACAGCGGAGACTAGGAACCTTTTTTCAGAATGGCCTCAATACAATTAGCTCGGTATTTCCACAATGAGAATACTCACACTTGACATCTAGTGACACGGAACCAGTCTTAGTGGTGGATGTTCGTGTGTTTCTGACGTGACATCTTACACTTGCCTTGCCTTTGTTTGGCCTGAAGTTGAGAGTCTGGGACCACCGAGTAGAAGATTCTGCTACAGGTCCCGTGCTGCCACCTACAGGTGTTCCATCGCTGTAGTCCCAGGTGAAGGTCAGGTTGGGGTAACCGGTGGTACCACAGGTCAAGGTCAGGTTACTGTTCTCTAAAGTCACGTTGCTGTCTGGTTTTGTCATATCAACATGCTCTGGTCCGACTGGAATGCAGCACAATTATGTATCACTACAGTGCTATTTGCTAAACTATGTCTACTGATACACAACCTCTAGCTTACATCTGACAGATATGTGTCCGCAACAGCTTTACCTTTATTCTGTTACACTTTGTCACAAACCACCAATTTGTTTCTTATAATTATTTCAATCGTTCAGTGTAGCTCTGAAGACTCTATCTTCTTTGTACAAATCACCTACTGTCACAAACGCTTCACCTCTGCTGTGTTACACTGTGACTGATCAATAGATAGAAGTCTGTTGACATCAAACATGTCTTACGGCGCTGGTAAACATGACATTGCATACCTGTCACACAACTCACACCCAACCTTCAGCGTGTCTACTCACACACATAAAACCTCCAGTATAACTCTGTTGGACAAATTACACCAAACGTGTAGCCCTGTTAGACCCTTGCTACTCACTCCAAACCTCCAGCATTGGTCAGCAAGGCTAGTACTGTGTCTACTTACACCAATCCTCCAGTGTGGCTCTGTTAGACTGTGTTTACTTACACCAATCCTCAAGTGTGGCTCTGTTACACTGTGTCTACTTACACCAAAAATCCAATGTGGCTCTGTTAGATTGTGTCTACTTACACAAATCCTCCAGTGTGGCTCTGTTAGACTGTGTCTACTTACATCAATCCTCCAGTGTGGCTCTGTTACACTGTGTCTACTTACACCAAACCTCCGGTGTTGCTCTGTTAGACTGTGTCTACTTACACCAAAAATCCAATGTGGCTCTGTTAGACTGTGTCTACTTACACAAATCCTCCAGTGTGGCTCTGTTACACTGTGTCTACTTACACCAATCCTCCAGTGTGGCTCTGTTACACTGTGTCTACTTACACCAAACCTCCGGTGTTGCTCTGTTACACTGTGTCTACTTACACCAAAAATCCAATGTGGCTCTGTTAGACTGTGTCTACTTACACAAATCCTCCAGTGTGGCTCTGTTAGACTGTGTCTACTTACACCAAACCTCCAGTGTAGCCACATAGACTGTGTCTACTTACACCAATCCTCCAGTGTGGCTCTGTTACACTGTGTCTACTTACACCAAACCTCCGGTGTTGCTCTGTTAGACTGTGTCTACTTACACCAAACCTCCAGTGTGGCTCTGTTAGACTGTGTCTACTTACACAAATCCTCCAGTGTGGCTCTGTTAGACTGTGTCTACTTACACCAAACCTCCAGTGTAGCCACATAGACTGTGTCTACTTACACCAAACCCCCGGTGTTGCTCTGTTAGACTATGTCTACTTACACCAAACCTCCGGTGTGGCCCTGTTAGACTGTGTCAACTTACATCAAACCTCCAGTGTGGCTCTGTTAGACTGTGTCTACTTACACCAGACCTCCAGTGTGGCTCTGTTAGACTGTGTCTACTTACACCAGACCTCCAGTGTGGCTCTGTTAGACTGTGTCTACTTACACCAGACCTAGAGTGTAGCCCTGTTAGACTGTGTCTACTTACACCAAACCTGAAGTGTGGCTCTGTTAGACTGTGCCTACTTACACAAAACCTCGAGTGTGGCTCTGTTAGACTGTGTCTACTTACACCAAACCTGAAGTGTGGCTCTGTTAGACTGTGTCTACTTACACCAACCTCCAGTGTGGCTCTGTTAGACTGTGTCTACTTACACCAAACCTCCATTGTGGCTCTGTTAGACTGTGACTACTTACACCAAACCTGAAGTGTGGCTCTGTTAGACTATGTCTACTTACACTAAACCTCCAGTGTGGCTCTGTTAGTCTATGTCTACTTACACCAACCTCCATTGTTGCTCTGTTAGACTGTGACTACTTACACCAAACCTCCAGTGTGGCTCTGTGAGACTGTGTCTACTTACACCAAACCTCCAGTGTGGCCCTGTTAGACTGCGGGGATGTCCGACCGTTGATGTTTTCAGCCTGACAGCGAATGCTCCTCCCCTGGTCACTCCTACTGACAGTGAATGTGACGGAGCTTGTTGTCTTCACCAGGACACCAGATGTCTTCTCTGTGCTGACGGTAGGTGACGTTCCTGATGGCAAGGTCACCCAGGTCACAGTAGAAGTGGGGAAACTGGCTGACGTCACACAGGTCAAGGTCAGGGATTGACCTGCCACTAGTCCTATCTTCTCATTATCAGAACTGATGTTTGTCAGTGTCACTGAGGTAACTGGGACTGGAATAGCAAGTTGAACTGTAATAACACCTGACATTAACAGCAATGTACTGTCACATCGAGTTCCCGGAAATGTAGCATGTTTGATTCGCAAAGGATGGTATGTTCTAATGATGAATATGTCATGAGGTGGATTCCATTTCAAACATATATATTTCCACGAAAAAGTGTTGCTTGATCAACAAACAAGCGAATAGACACGTATTCAATGCTTTTCCCTTGAGACACAATATACATGTAAGGAACAATTGAATTATTAGTACAGAAAGAACGTCATTTTAAAAAAGTTTCTGCATTTAGATTAGATCGCTCAACGTAAGCCGGAGTCGGGACTGAATATTTTGTTTTGCATATTGTATAGATTAGAATTGTTTCGTTACTTATCACTACTTCAAGACAAATACTTGTATCTGTCTATCATCGTCCATACATGCATTTAAATGCATTAGACCGCATTACACAAAGATTACGCGAACATATCCATAATCATTTAGTGAAATTAATATCAACACCTTAAACGGTCGCATCAGTATTAACCACCAAAAAGGTAATTGTTGGTATAATTCTAAACCGGTGTTCTACCCACCAGGGAACTGTATGGTGTTTGAAGTGACAGACTTGGTATACGTCGGGGGATCAAAGGAGTCATGTTCCACACTGACAGTGAGAGACACCTGCCTGTTGTAGAGACTGACTGTGTTCCCTGGTAGAGACAGAGAGTTGGTTGTCTGGACCTGACCTGATGGACATGATCCCTGGCTGGAAGATGTACTGCTGGGGAGGACACCACTCACACCCTGTAAACACAAAACAGTAGTTAGATAGACTGACTGTGTTCCCTGGTAGAGACAGAGTGTTGGTTGTCTGGACCTGACCTGATGGACATGATCCCTGGGTGGAAGATGTACTGCTGGGAGGGACGCCACTCACACCCTGTAAACACAAAACAGTAGTTAGATAGACTGACTGTGTTCCCTGGTAGAGACAGAGTGTTGGTTGTCTGGACCTGATGGACATGAACCCTGGGTGGAAGGTGTACCTCTGGGAGGGATGAACTTGTAGGACGGTACCTACCTGTTGGTATGTCCATGTGATGACGGCGGAAGGTACAGCACATGGAGTGGTGACAGTGACGGAGATGTTGTTCTGTGGTGTAACGGACGACGGGAGAGAGGTCAGTTGTGGAGAGAAGGTCACAGAGCTCCAGTCCAGGACAGCTAAAAAAAGGGAAAGATTTAAACATAACTTTGGTGTATATATTTAATCGTCTTTCTTAGATACTTTGCTAAAAGATCAATGGCGCGGACAGATCAGGCGATAAAGTACAGTTTTTTAAATACCGTCACAAAGAATGGACGCCCATACGCCATTCTAGTCTACCCCTCGTATCAAACGTACCCATGGTATCCGACGTCACGATTGACCATTACAGTTTTGCAAATAACCCGTTTCATGTTTTCACTGGCTTGACTCACAGGCAAACTGCGACACGGAAATGTCCCACAATGCATCTGAGCAAGATGACGTGATCATTGTGACCTAAATGCACTGACAACATTTCCTATGTAAACCATGTGATAATCACAAGTATATTTGAAATGATAAAGAGGGGACTTTTCACCTGAATGCGTACGATCGAGATTTGTTGTATTGGTAGCATGTTATCTTAACGTAGAGAGCAGACACAGCACGCCAGGAAGCCCTGAACGGCTGACTGACTGACTGAGTTTAGTTTTACGCCGCTTTTAGCAATATTCCAGCAATATCACGGCGGGGGACACCAGAAATGGGCTTAACACATTGTGCCCATGTGGGGAATCGAACCCGGGTGTTCGGCGTGACGAGCCAACGCTTTAACCACTAGGCTACCCCACCGTCCCCCTGAACGGGGATTGTTAATGTAGATCATGATAACATCGTTATGATTTCTTTTGTGCCTTAGATCAATCGTCGGTGTCAAATTTGACATCTCAGAAAAGAAATATAGTAAACTTCGACATCATGTAAATTGTGATACAGTGAAGTTTTCATCTGAACTATTACTCCTCGTGCTTTAACTAAGTCGTCCAGGGCAACATTGTTCAGTGAGTGAAGGATTGGTATTAACACGGTACCATTAATACTTTACCACGCTGACTGCGTACAGTTTGTTTACCTGTTTGTGCAAAAATAAACACCAGGTCCTGGTAACATACATTCCTTCACAATGGTATTATAAACACACAAACATATCAAATGTGAACAATGTTTCCTAGTATGATCGTTAGTTCTCTCCTTCTATGACTACGTGAAGTGTGTGTATGTTTAACACCGCATCGTCTGGAGAGATGTGTGATGGCCGGGGCTTGAATGTAGAATGAATAAGTTTGTCCTATATATTTTAACAGTTCCAAAAACAAGCAAAATATTCCGTTAAGAATCTTTTCTCAAACTATCGACTACAACACAACCTGATGTGAGTTTTGACGTGTTGTCTGCCCTCGGAAGTAACAAAGTAAAGACAAATCCCATCTTCATCCACAGTTTAAAGGTTTCCATTCATCACGATGTGATTAACATACATATAACCCACCTGCAAACTGTGACAGTGTGATGGTATTTGACAATGAGGCACCAACACTACATGTCCATGCCCCACTGTCTCTGGTGGAATCTGCTGATGCGATGTCTAGAGACATGATCCTGGATGTACTGTCCAGACTCACATTGTATCCTGACACAGATGTCCCACAGTTGCCTGACGATAAGCAGCCTCCCCGGACTGAAGTAGGGCCTTTTATGAACCGTGCAGTGGAAGTGATAGCTGCATCTAGTGTACAGGTGATGGTGAAGCTGACACCCTCCACAGGAACACGTCTGTTGGTGGCAAGAACCGGAGCTGACTCTGAAACAGGAGGTTGTATGTTTTCCGTGTTGCTGGTGACCTTGTTATGTTATAACGATGTTTCGAACAGAATGTCATTTGGGTGTGTCAGTTCGTTGTTGGGCACAGTAATGCAGGTGTATATATGTTTCTGGTAATATAAGGAACAACACAACGTCGCTGGTGCCCCTAACAAATTGTTATATGTACACTCGATGTGTACATTTATTTATTTCTCGCTTTCAATGTCCCATCAGCAACGATACCTTGTGCATGTATATTACATTATTATTGTAGCAACGGATGTTCTTTAAATTTGATATGATTTTACCAGCAAGAATGGCAGAGGGCCTGTCGGCGTCTTGTTCTCTCTTGGTTTGAGATAATCAAACATATTATCAAAGCGTAATGTACATTTCTGGAAATATTGATCTATTTTGACTTCTTTCAAAATTAGTACGTGAGCATGAGTTGGGTTTAACACCGCACTGAATATCCTCCCAGTCACATTATTGGCCGTCGGCCTGCTTTAGAAGAGGCACTGTGTAGATAATATGCGAGTCCCTACCGGGGAAGTATTTAAGCAGTGTGCTAAGGGAGGTAACTCTAAACAAGAAAAGCCGAGTTTCTGTTCTGGACAGACTGTTCACACTTGTGTGTTGATTCTTGCTAACAAAAGCCATATGTCTATGACAAGAAATATGACCAGAAATATGGTGTTATCTGCTAAGTCGGAAGTGCTAGAGGGAAAACCATCTGTCAAAGTAGATAATCCCCAACACAAGGTTTGTATGGAAGTTATGTGTCCTGTCAATGCCGTCAGGAGGTGAACAGGTGCACACAGGTTACAGAACGTTTGTTATACACAGACACCATTCCATGTGAGTGACAATGTGTACCTACCACAAGGACGTATCTGGGCAGTATCTAGCAGAATAAGTAGTAGGATCAACTCCAGAAACACACGTTGACTCATGTCACTGACTAAAGCTTGCAGCCCACCGACATGTACCGGTAGAGGCGGTATATGTAGAGCTGACAATACCAATTTACTTCCGGGTAGCTGATAGACAGGCTACGTTGTATAGGTATGTGTACATATTCAATCTCTGATTCATTGTACATGTATCATATTTGGATATCTCCACATTTACTGTGTTCTACTGAGGCCTTGATCCACTATGAGGTGACAACGTAAATGTGTCAGCTTGTTGTCAGAAGTATCAGGTTCACGTCCAACAGACATTAAGTCTTCAGTATCAACGTTTCTTCAACGACTTAACCCTCGATATGTGTTTTGTAAAAAAATAAAGTTTTATAATTGGTAGTTCAGATTATCAACTTAGATGGTTAGTGGCTGTATCCTCAAAGGAGGTTGAAGTAGCGTAAAATTATTGTCCTCCTGTGAGGGTACGTAAGTCCTAAAAACTTTCAAAGTAACATTTTCACGTACCAAGTTTGTAAACGTAGTATTTTTGTTATTTTAAATTTCGGAAAAAATTATCCTACAATCGCCAGTGGCTGAAGGGATGGTGTTAATCCAGCTAGGCTCCATGCAGGTAGCAAAAGTAATGTAAGTCCCCATGGTTCCTAGTATGGTGATCTACCTTCAGATGCTGGCGATCTGTAGCTGTGTTTTATATTGTATTGTCTTCTTTAATTACGCTGTTTGAGTTTTACATGATAGTTTTGTGTTCATATCTGTGATACTCTAGTATTTTTGCTGTCCATCGTCGACAGGTTCAACTCTTCACAATGTTTTCATTTTTGTATTGTATAAATTGTTTTCGTCACGATATGGCTGAGATATTGCCGATGTGACGTTAAATATTAACTCACTCACTCACTAAAAATGATATTAAACTAAATATATATTGTCGATGTTCATTGGTCTGAAACAAACATATCATTTCTTACAAATTCCCTCTGCGTCACTAAAGAAATAAAATAAACTGGAAAAACAATTTGATAAATGTGTTAACGAGATGATTGTTTTTCACCGACTGGTCAAAACAATCTTGAAAATTACTGTTTGTTAAAATTATTTTTTCGCCTGCCAGTCTGTTAAACGAACAAGTAATTCAATTAATACCTGGTTACATACATAAGGTTATATTTATACGTGGTCCGTGGTCTTTGATACGCGGCAATCAACACAAATATTGTTTGCTTTTCTCCTGTGATATAGATGCGGTGATGGACAAACTCTGCACTGGACCTAAGATCAAGATGTTATTAACTGGCCACCAGTGTTTATCTGGTCGCCTTGTTGTTTGATGACATTTCATGCTGTCGATCACTTGTGATGCGTTGCAGCGTCATTCTAAATATCACCGTGTCAAACTATCACAACAATGAGAATATGGCAGCCAAATGACAAATCACCTTCCGCAGTTCCTGAATAGGTCTTGTAATAATAATCTGTACTTGTCACCTTAGTAACAAGGCAACTCTGACAATTCACCACAAAGTGTGCAATGAAGTCTTACACCACTCCACCCTTGGCATGAATACTCCCCAATTCTGTGGACATCGTGTACAGGGCATTTGTTAATAACATTTGTTACGTTATTCTCTCTCACAGGGGACTATCTGGTGTATGTTTGTTTTTGGTAGACGTGTTCAGAATGATTTCCTTACAATAAGAATGTAAATAAATCGGAAAGTTCACTGCACTCACGTTCAACGTTCTGTTCTGCTGCAAAGACCTATACAAAACACGAATAATGTGGATCCGTGTAACAAACCTCGGCTTACAATACGCACATACAGACGACTGACTGTCTAGTGTTCAGACGTACTCCACGAGCAACAAACAGTCTCACGATATCTGTTGACATGATATTCAAACGACTGATTATGACATAGCAATTTCAACCTATCGGGTCTGTGTAGCAGTTTACGGAAGTGTTTTTGAAGTTGTAAACGGATATGTTGTATGGTGTTCATATATATCTGCAGATATATAAATTATAGCTTTTATGGTGAAACAACGATTTTAAACACGTGTTTATATATTACTTACTGTAAGATACTACTGATAATATGTTTATGTAGAATTGTTAGCATAGCAGGTAATGTCCCAGTAGGGATGGATACGTGTGTATTTGGTGCAGTGCAGGGGATATCGGAGTAAACTTTCTAGTTCAATGAAACAGTGAATGATATAAAATGCATATTTTAGAAATTGTTGTCTATATACCGACAAAAGTGAGTGAGTGAGTTTAGTTTTACACCTCACACAACTCAGCAACACTCCAGCTATATGTGTCAACCATGACACCCGATCTCGTTAGTATTACGACAAGCATAGGTTACTTAAGATCAGTCCTAATCCGGTTCCTCACGGGTCGACAAAGTGAAGTTGGCACTAGTAATGCGATATATATTCAGCGTGAAAACAAACTTTATTTTCTATCAACACAATATTCATTGCGAGAAAAGTGTGATACAAACAGACGACATATCAACACAGCTATTTATGTCCAGCATAAGTTCCTCAAATGTGGTTGAGTATGTACAACATAACATGTGTATGTTTCCTTACAGTGAGAGCGGTTCCCGTCACATGGCTTCGTGGTGTGATTGACTTGTTCCTATGCTATACTATGCTATGTTCCTTTGGGTGGGCTATGCCAGCTGTCTGACAGGATTTCCTACAAGAAAGGCCATACACAGTGGGTGCTAGAACTGCATGAGCCTCGGTAAGGAAAATGTACTTACATTTAGATGTTTAACATGCTTAAGCAAATGCGATATTGGGTCAATATGTCTTGCTGGATGAGATTCTTCATTGTGACATCTCCTCACATGAACTCATATGTTACAGATTTAACACACGTAATAAACATTCTAAGGTATTCCCTCAATATGAACACAAGGTTGTGCAAGAAAGTTAGTGTCAACCAGTCAGATTCCAATGTCATGTGACATAAGATATTGCTATGTTTTGTGTTTTAATACTACAATCTATTCGATTAAAGTAAGTTAAGATAGCTCGCATTGGGATTGGATGTTGGTTCAATCCTTTATTGTTTCATCTCCTCCCATAAACTCATCTGTTATAGATCAAAGACATTATAAGGTGTCCTTCACTTTGGACAAAAGGAAGTTTAAGCAGTCATATTCATCCAAGTGTCAGATGTCTTTTTCCACGCATTCCCAAAGTGAAGATCTGAAAAATATCAGTGAAATGTCTTACCTTATTATCGCACAAAATGTGCTAATTTTTTTTTAAAATAATGCATTCTACATTAGAAAACAGAAGCTTGGGCATATGTTTGAAAATAATCATTGCTTCTTGAGTACAGTTCGTTATTGTAGCTTTCTGTATTCATGATTATTGATAACCAAAATATTGGTTACCTCAAGGTTGAGAGCCGCTGTTCTGGTATGGAGATTCGCTGATGGACTCGTATGGTGCAGGAGGCGTCTCTGTCATGTCTTCGTAGGTACTTGCCTCAGCTTTGGCCTCAACTGAAAATCATGACATTTCCTAAGAACATTTCATATATTGTATACCCTTCCAAACGTAAACGCAACGATAGATATAATTAATGAAATATGGCATACCTTCACTACACTTATGATTGAGTGCTATAGTAATGTAAGAAACTGTATCCATCTACCGTTTGTATTCTCATAAACCTTCAGCTGTGTGTAATGTTGTCTTTCTGAACCCCCTGTATCCATGCTTGAGGACTGAGCTGAACTGTTGATGTGATCTGTAACAAATAAACATGAACATATATTAACGGTATCAGTACATCTCCCTGTCAGTGGCCATCTCGATATGTCTGACTAGAAATGTTGAACCTACCAAGGGATGAATATCCTGCTATGTTTTCTATTTCTTCAGTTTCAGGATTTCTGGTGCTACAAAGGCAAATAAGGTCGATTACTGAACATACCATGGAAAGGAACGCGTTAAATAATTGATGTTTATATCTGACTATAAATGGCTTCGTACGTTATCTCAAAGCAGATGATTTCAAAACGTTTTATTTACATGCTTAGCATACCTTTTTGGTGAAGCAGATCCTGAAAGGAGAGAATACATATTTAGTACCCCGAAATACAAACATCACAAATGACGAATTTGGTATTTAGGAATTGTTCGAAAGGAAGAATGAGATGTAAGAAAGGATAACGATTTAATAAACAACACCCTGCATCTAAGCAGTCATTGGTGAAAAACGGTTCCTGTCATTATTGATTGTGTATACATTCAAGCTACAGGATGAGCTCAATGTGAACTTGTTAGTCCACGAATGTCACTCATCTTTATCAATAAAAGTGTGAATTGAAACGTCCCTTCTGTAATTATCTCCACAACACGATTCTACTTCAAATGCTACTGAAATTTACCTTTGAAAATGTTTCCAAACCTAAACCCCTTCCTGTAGAGAACCGTTAGAACTAATCCTTCAATCAGCAAAGTAACAAGTAGGGTTCCTATTGTGGCGCCTACTATTACACCTGTCATGTTACAGTCGGCTTTGAGCGGTTCCGGGTTTGAGGGACCTGCAGCATAAAATGATAAATACGTGAAGTATATCTTGTTTCGTAATGACAGAGCTGACTTGCATTTTAAGCTGTTTGTTCCTTCCGTGCCACGTGCTTTATAACGATTCCCTCTGCATCTCTACATCGTCCAAAGTATCATACAAATAGTATCACACATACACATTACTTTACAGACACAGGATAGCTCGCGGTTTGAAAGGCTGATTACATATCACTATATCCTCGGCATAATATCAGGCAGGAGATCGTACACCTATATATTCGAAACCAACGATCTACCCTTCAATTTAGTGTCTAATACATGTTAGATCAGTATTAGAAACTGTGCGACAAAGGATCGGTACACAAGAAATGTAAAACACATTTCCCTCTAAGATTCCTAGTATTTCTGGCTTTTCATGGCATGGCCACGAACCTCAGGGATCCATCACATAGAAGTTTTATCCTAGATACGTGTCGCTATTTGGAAACTTATAGACTTGTGCCTCAAGAAACAGTTAACGGTACTAACAGCTGACATTGAATGTCCTGACATCAGTGTAGTTGTATCCTCCATACTGCCACGCCCCCAGACACTGACACTGTTGACCATGTTGACTCCTGCTGACAGTAAAGGAGAGAGTAGATGTCCTTGTCTGACCAATGTCACTGACCGATGCTGATCCAGTGCCAGGACAGGACCACGTGATCGTAGCTAGAGGATTTCCTCCTGTCACCGAGCAGCTGATTGTCTGTGGGTCTCCTTCAAACATCAGAGCCGGAAACTGTGTGATGGAAGGAAGGGCACGTGGTGGGTCTGTAATAGGGACCAACCATCAACTATCAACAAAAAAACAACACTTGATGGATGGAGGGATACATAGGGGGGAGGGTGTGTGTGTCTGCAACAGGAACAACCAAGATTGTAAGTATAAATGACATAAATGGGGATCTGTTACAGGAAAAACCAAGACAGCAACCATCAACAAATATACTCTTATGTAACAGCAGAGACCATAACCAAACTGATCTCAATACAATTAGGTCAGTATTTCCACACACAAAAATACCTTCATCCGAGAGTATACACAATGTATCCAATAGTGATAATTCCTCTGTATAACACTCCTAGGCAACTCTGTTTATAATTCTCAGCAAATTCCAGAAGGTCTTTCGATGCACATCAACAGTATGAGAATATACAAAGGGAATACTGAGAATACTTAAGAAAACTCACATTTGACATCCAGTGACACAGAACCAGTCTTAGTTGTCAACGTCCGTGTGTTTCTTACCTGACATCTCACGGTTGTCTTGTCTTTGTTTGGCCTGGAGGTGAAAGTTTGGTACCACCAGGTAGAAGATCCTGTCACTGACCCCGTGCTGCCACCTACAGGCGTCCCATCACTATGGTCCCAGGTGAAGGTCACGTTTGGGTAGGTGGAGGCAGTACAGGTCAAGGTCAGGGTACTGTTCTCTACAGCTACAGAGTTGTCTGGTTTTGTCACATCAACCTGTTCTGGACCGACTGTAATACAGTGCAAGACTATGTGGCAGCGGTGATATCTGGACCTCTTTCTGTATTGACAGTGTGTTATATGTCTACATGCACGTCCAAATAAGGTAAATATCTATCGTAACGACTCTCATAATGTATAACCAACATATATTTGATCTTCTTAATTTATCATCGGTGTCATGTTATTCAACTAGGTGTCTCTATTCACTCAGTGTGGCAATTAGACAAGTAATGATTGGCTGACATGAGAACTGTACTGCCTATTATACAACTCACACCACACTCCTATCCGGGTGCTGTCAGACTGCACTGGGGAGGGGTTGTGGATGTTGGTAGCGCGACAGTAGACTGTATAACCAAGGTCACCTCTGACAGGAGTGAAGGTCATTGTACTACTGGTTTGGACAACACCTGATTGGGATGTTTGATCAATGGATATCCCACTTGACACCAGAACACTGTTCTTGTACCACGTGATTGTGGCAGCAGGGTAACTGAAAGAGGTCACACAGGTCAAGGTCAAGGGCTGACCTTCAGCAGCTCCCACTTCCTGATTGGCTGATGTGATGTTTGTTAGTGACACACTGTTGACAGCAACTGAATGGAAAGGGAAATAAGGAATAATGTCAATATCTTAGGGATAGAACAAGTATCTCAACAGCATGCATGGCAGTTCAGGATATATCAGGATATGCTTACTGTCAGGAAAGGAATAAGTAGAGTTGACGGCAGACTGTGTGTTGGATGCCTGGCAGTAGTACAAGAACTTCCTGCTGCTGGGTATCACACTTTTATATGTACAGCAATACAGATTACTTACTGTCAGGATAGGAATAGGTAGAGTTGACTGTAGTTGACTGTGAGTTGGAAGCCTGGCAGTAGTACAGCGAGTTCCTACTGTTGCCTGTCAGCTGGTAGTTAATGGTGGCAGTCCAGCCAGTGTATCCCTCTACTGCTGCCGGGCTGGTGGCCCACTAGTCCCGTCTCTGTACATCGTCACTGACGGCGGTGGGTTGGAGACTGCGACGCAGGAGATAGATGTAGTAGTTCTAGTAAGGCTAACACTGTTCAGAGGAACTGAAATAATAACACAGCTTTATGAAGTATGCTGTCTCCGTGTTGAGTGGTGGTGGGTGAAAGACACAGGCGACATATGAAATAGTTTCAAGTGATGGTATGATTGGTCCGACAAACAGAACTAAGAAAACCAGAAATGAATAGCTTTATGAAGTATGGTGTCTCTGTGTATGAGGGTGGTGGGTTGGAGACACAGGCGACAGATCGAGGAGGTTCAGTGATGGTAACACTGGTCAGAGAAACAGAACGACAGAGCTTCATAAAGGACAGTGTGTCTATGTAGGACGGCAGTCTTTTGGAGACACAGACGATAGATGCAGTAGTTCTGGAGATGGTAACGTTGGTCAGAGGAAGTTACAATAATAGCATAGCTACAGTATGATGTAATCATGGTGGACGCCGCTGGTTGAAGTCAAGTGATCATTACACATAAACAAATACAAATAAAAGTAAACATATATAAATAAACATGCAGGTTTGAGCAATTGAGTGTTTCGGTTTGAATTCACAGGTGATGTGACATCCACCTCACATACAAAACTTTAACAAAATGTCAACATGACAAACTTACTCACTACATCCACCTGTATCTGGTTACTCGGTCTCCTCCAAACTGAAAGTCACACCTCCAGATGAGCCTATCCCTGCCGTACATGACGTTGTTCATGTTGAGGGTGTAGTTGGTGAAGCTTGGGCAGGAAGTGCTGAAGTCAGCTGGGAGAGAGGGGAGGTGGAACTGTATCTACCCTGGTTTACTCTGTATAATGTAGTCCCAGTCTGCCACACTATAGCTGTATGTGAAGCTTCTCCTGTGTACCACATCAGGGTACAGCGCCCTCCTGCCTGTACAGAACCTCCACATGATGACGTCAGCTGATAGTTCTGGGCAGAAACTGAAAGTTAACAGAACGATGACAACTGCATGGACATACTCTTTACGGAAATAAAAGACTTCAGAATAAGAATAACAAAACATGACTATTACAGACAAATCTCCTCTCTCCGGTAAACCACTTATCCGACGTATTCAGCACTGTTGTCGTTACTGACTTCACCTATTGTGTCATATTGTTTCACGATGCAGAAGGACAAGTGTCCCAGCCATCTACGACACTACAATGCGCTCTGAGGAGTTGCGTCCCTTTAGACGTGCTGGAAACATGTTCACGGTTCATCGAATTCCAGTTTACCACATTATGTGTCTTGGTGTGTCAGCACCACACCTGTTGTCCATGGGTTTCACCAAGTTAAGTGAAATTCCACCTTCATCAACCTGATACATCAAACTGTGACTCACTTACTATTTAAACCAGCGTTACACGAACTCCACTTATCTATTCATACATTATTCTTGTAATCCTAAATCTTAGGAAGCAAATATTTTGCTCATTCGGAAGTTGACAAAACTAAATCTTACCTTGGTTTGTCTGAAAGTCTTACGAAATTTTCATTATTTCTTCGATTTTGCTTTATGTTCCCAGCTATTACATTCTCTGTGTAGGCTACTCTGTCTGCTATCAACGGCACAGGTAACTATTACACTCTCTGTGTAGGCCATTCTGTCTGCTATCAACGGCACAGGTAACTATTACACTCTCTGTTTAGGCCACTCTGTCTGTTATCAACGGTACAGGTAACTATTACACTCTCTGTTTAGGCCACTCTGTCTGTTATCAACGGTACAGGTAACTATTACACTCTCTGTTTAGGCCGCTCTGTCTGTTATCAACGGTACAGGTAACTATTACACTCTCTGTTTAGGCCACTCTGTCTGCAATCAACGGCACAGGTAACTATTACACTCTCTGTTTAGGCCGCTCTGTCTGCTATGAACGGCACAGGTAACTATTACACTCTCTATGTAGGCCACTCTGTCTGCTATCAACGGCACAGATAACTATTACACTCTCTGTTTAGGCCACTTTGTATGTAATCAACGGCACAGGTATACAGCTGCAGCCCTGCTCTACCCGTTGACATATACATAGAATCTTCTGCCTGGTTTTACTTTAGGTGACTGTGAGATTCTTGGCGTTACACATAAAAAACATATTTATATTAGCTATAATAACAACTGTAGTAACAACAGTATTGGTTTTGAAGCATTTGCTGCTCAAACAAACGACGGAGGTCACTTACACACTTTTACAAAAAAGGACACGTCATAGAACAAAACAGATGACGTCACTATTGAGAGTGACGACATTCGACCTTGACCTTTGCCCATACTACCAGTCGCCTTTTTTTTCAATGCTCACCAACGTTCCAGTCGATGTTTTCATTGCTGCATGTTGTAATTTAAGGTACAATTGTTAAGGTTAGTACCGGCAAGAAAGTGCATAATGGCACAGGTGCATGTGACAACTGTGAGTCAGAAATGTCGTCAATATTGAATCCAAGTTCAAACGAGCCGTGGGTGATTGAACATCAAGAGCTGAGCTCCTTATGACGTCACCTAACAACGAGCATGATAATGGCCTGTCGAGGAATTATCAAGTTACTATGGCCCGCTCATTTCTGATAACATACGGGCGTTTAATGATATTTCTATCCATTTTAGCCATACAACATGTTATTGACATACGAGTAAGATACGTGTACCTACCCCGTTGTTTGTGAGGAATGTCCGCCAGTAGAGTCCCAACTGTGAAGATAAGACGGATGTACAGTATAGACATGTTGGTGGTGTGTGGAAGTAGTGCCACAAGTAACAGATACTAGCACTGGTGTACAGTGTATGTAATTATACTTCCGGCTGTGCTGATATGCTCGCTCTTAGTTTGCATTAATAAAATATGACTGGATATGTACGGCTTGATGTATGCCACCAAGACAGGTATCTAGAGAAGTAGGTCGTGTGTCACACATACTTTTAGCAGATTGTGGTGTTGGGTGACAGTGTAGCTTTGTTGATTGTATGATTGTGTCTGTGTAGACATGACATTCAAAAGACCTGGATATTCACTACAGGGTATATGTCGCTCAAATCATTACCCAACAAACTCGGTCGTGAGTCACATGTAGTGTTGGGCGTTTGGGGGCACTTACCGACTGCACTTACTGATTGTCCGATATGTGGCTGTGTAAACATGATATAGTCAAATACCCATTTATATTATTACCAAGAGTCACTATATATTCATACAGAACAGGTTTAGCGCGACTTGTGCTATTTTTCTAAGACTAGTCTCCATACAGACTTGTAGAACTCTTCAATATGCCAGCCTCCAATGTTGAAGCAGTGAAGGGGAACTTCTCGTGTTTCACAACATATCACAACATGTTAATGAAGAAATAGAGCATATGCATTTGCATTTGCGTACAGCAAACAACAAAAGGATGAAATCCATTGAGCTCAGGCTTTTTATCATTACATATGCGAAATCCTGAGTTATATGACAATGGTATGAATATTTCCGGCCATTAGCATGGTTTGATTGGATCACATTTTACAAAACACAGTCGGTTGTTTGAGTTTACAACGTGGACAAACCTAGCCCAAGCTCACAAATGAGTTGTGATGAAAGCATTATACTGAGTCAGAATGTAATGTAATTATAAAGGCTACTCAAATATTTAGTGAAGTCACCATGCTCATTTTCCCTTATATCGATGCCTGAACATGTGTGTCTGTTTCTCTGAGTCTGTGTGTCTGTGTCTGCGTGCTTATGTGTCTCCATGTCTGCGTGTTCTTTTTCAAATTCCGACCTCGCCACTGAGACACCAAGCTGCGGTTTAACATGGACACAGTCCACTGACTCCACTAAGCCGAGCAGATTTTGTTTTATCTCCTGATCCCGAAACTCATGCATTGGTCACGCAACGAACCATCGTTAAGTATACTGAGTCAAAACGAAACTGCACATTCTTTCTTCAGGGCACTATAAAAGAACAAGAGATGGTAAGATGGTTAAATTGTTATTATTTCATTGCTGAGATCTGTGTGATGTACTCGATACACTGACAGTGCTATAATCAGTTCCATTAGGCTACACCGCCGTTCCAAAACATGGGTATACAGAATGTCAAGTCACAAGAATAAAAATGCAAAATTTCTCAGTTCAATATCGTGTATGGCCACCCCGCGCATTCACCACTGCCAAACACCGTCTCCTCATCGACTGCCTGATGCTTGTGAAGACGTGGTTGGGGATTCAGCGCCATTGCTCTTGCAAGACAGCGACAAGTTCCTGCAAATTCTGAGGTTGGTTCCTAAGACCACCAAGCCTTCTCCCAAGTGCATCCCAAACGTGCTCTATTGGATTAAGGTCAGGGGACCTCGATGGCCAGTCCATGACGTTGATTCCAGCGTTCTGAAGGAAATTTCGTGTCAACATCGCTGGAACTGTAGACCTGGGCCATGAGCCGCCATGAAAGGAACGAGTTCAGGGGTGAGCACCTGGTCGCGGTAAGCAGCAGCTGTGAGGTTTCCACGGATGACCAGAAGTCAGGAACGGTTGTTCCCACAGAAAGCACCCCACACCATGCAACTTCCGCCCCCGAATCTGTCGACTTCCTGTACACAACATTGGGCATACCGTTCACGACGTCGTCTCCAGACTCTATGCCTGCCGTCCGCGAATCTGAGGGTATACCTGGATTCATCGCTAAAGACGACTCGATTCCAGTCTCTCTGGGTCCATCAGAGGTGACGTTGGGCCCACAGCAGACGTTGACGTTGATGAAACGGCGTCAATATTGGCCCACGATATGGACGTCGAGAATGGAGATTGGCAGCCCGCAACCGATTTCGAATGGTCTGTGAGGACAGTCGACCTCTAAACATCTCAGCCTTGGTTCGTGTAGCCGGCAGAAATTGTCACGTAGGTGACGTAGGACGATTTGACGGTCTTCTACTTGTGACGTCACACGTGGACGACCCGAACTTGGGCGATCAGAACTGGTGCCAGTTTGTTGTAGACGACCTCGCAAGTCATATACAGTACGACGGCTGCATCCCATTGCTCTTGCGACGTCAATAACTGATCTTCCCGCTTGCAACATGCCAACGGCACGTTAACTTTGCACATTTGACAATCGTGGCATTTCAAGTACCGTTAGAACTGTGGTTTAAAAGTGTTTTTTCAATTCTTGAGGCCAATGCAAACACGTGCATATGAAGAAAACCTCGATGCAAGGATCACGTGATCGACTGCACGTGCAAAACCTGATTTGGCACTAACGTCATTTGCACGAGGAGTGGATGGGTTTGTGTGGGTTTTGCTAACGTCTTTCTAGAGTCGAAAGATAGGGATCCCACTTGGGATACATAGATGTATCATCAGAGAAAGATTATTCATTATTTTTTTCAAATTACATTTTGTGAAGTTTCTGTTTTGACTCAGTATATAAATAATGCAGTCGGACTTCTAAGCTCCGACCTTCTCTGGCCACACACCAGACCTTGGCCATGAAGACTGCATTTGGTCGTTCGGTGTAACCTGCAGTCGGCAGGGAAACATAGAGAATCATGAAGGTTATCGTGTATTCAAACACGATGAAAACAAAACGAATATTGCTTGCTCTCAGTATTGACAGATCTAATTTATCTGCCTGCGATACACTCGCAATACTCGATATATATTCAATATCCATATTGACAAACATATCATATAACCTCCAAGCCATATTCATCACATTTGTTGTAAACGCATCATATATGATATGTGTTCAATGCTTATATTAGTGGCAATAACCGCTCTGATCCGTACACGGTATATGTTTGGCTGCACTCGAGTCACACAATATACACTCTATATTCACACTAGTACAGACAAACAGCTCCTCGTCATCCACAGATATGTACCCACCATTACCTGACTGCAGCATGTCGTCAGTACGTCGATAAATCTGGATTATGTCACTGGCAACGTTTGGGTAATTCATTTCAGCCAATATACTGCCAGTCTGAAATATTCTAGTGGACATGCGTAAGACCATTTAACACCCTGACCTCGTCACTTCCTTCCTGGCAGATGTTTACAAGTTTACTGGATATATTTGTTGTATTCTCATAACTGCCAGTTGCTTTTTCTACAAGGGAAACACCGAGTTGTGATGCAGAACTCACTTCCGGGTAGAGTTATCTACCCGGGTTGTTACAGGCGGAGTTTTCCTGGCTGGTTGTCTGGTATAATACACTTTACAGCAAACGCCGATTCCGATTGGTGGACCGCTTATTGGTTTATTTAAGACTAAGAAAAGTGGAACATTTAACTAATTTACCACTTCAGTGTACGGACTGTAGCTAATGGTTCGATTCCGATTAGACGATTTCCATGAGGGTCGTTCAAAAAGAAGTCGGCCAAACTATATTCTCGATGTCCAATGTTTCAAAGTTTCCATTTTATTTTGATGGAATCAAAGCCAAATCCAACATTTCACATACGTGTATGTGGGTAATGTAGTTAACATGATATTAGTGTCTTCGGTGATGGTAGTGTTGTGATATAATAGACTCTCGGAGATTCTCTCAAACTGAAGGACGGGTTTGTATAACGGAGTCCGTCCGTGAAATCAAGTTTTGCTTTGTAAGAGTTGTACAATTATTGCAATTAATAAACAATGTGTACTTAAATCAATTCAGCTGCAGTCACTTGCATGCATTATAACACTCAGTGTTTGCTGAGATTCTCAGATTTAGTCAGTCGTCATATTCTGAGCATCTGTTGAACAACAAAGGACAAACTTTCGTAAAGATCTGTTGAAGGTAGAAGGGACACAAACTCAAATATAAAACGTCACAGTACAATATTGGTTGTCCTAAAAAAAACCTCGAATATGCCCGTTCCTGATGCTTCAACAGATAGCCTTTCATCACCGTCTTGGGCCTCCCAGTAGGTGTCAGGAAGGGAGATTGTTCCACACTTCTGTGAGAACTTTGCCGAGTTCTTTATAATCGTCGGATGGACAGGGCATTGCTAGAGGGTGACCTCCAGCGCATTCCACATGTGTTGAGTAGAGCTGATGTCTGATGACCGGACTGGCAACTCCATGGGACAATGATCTCCTGCTCTGAGAAGCCATCACCGACCCTGGTATGATGAGTTCGTTCGTTATCTTCGATATCTTCGAGCTTGAAATCCGATTGCATCAATATACAGAGTCACTACACACCCAGAATGTGCACTGTTGTCCTCGTACCTGTGGCAGGACTGGTGATCGGCTCTTCCATCCCTACTGACACTTCACTAAATCATTACTGACACCACTATACTTCAACCATATTATATTATGACATACTTGGTAGATCGGACTAATGCTGTTCTCTCTATCTTTATGTACATCTTTCCACGTGGTCACCAAATAGATTTGTATGTTCACTGAGAAAATATATTGCTTTTTCAGGTTTGCGGAATATTTAATTAAATATTCGATAAAGATGACACAATCATAACATACATGATTTGAATTTCTCAACAGTGTCATGGAACCTTATATTGAGAAGTAATGTGTATTCAAAGAAAATAACAAAGCAAAGCAAAGTAATGCTCTCTCTTCATCCGCAGCTGAAACCGTTTGGCTTTGTGCTTATTTCATTTGTCAGGACCTGAAATGTAGAAAACTTAAGGTAATTAAACCTCCAAATACCGCTTCAATTGAACATATCACAAAATGTAAACGTATTATACTCGAACAGAAGAGAAAGCCTAAGTTTTGGGTTACTGCTGTTGAAACATTCAAGAACGCAGTTGATCCTTGACGGTAACAACAACTTTAATCACCAGGAGTGTTTCATGGTTTGTTTACCTTGAGAATGTTCCCCAGTGTTCTGGTATGGCGATGCCCTGATGGACTCATAGGTCACAGGGGGAGTCTCTGTCACGCTTTCATAGGTACTTGTATCTGCTGCAGCATCCGCTGAAGATAGAATTCCTTACATAATTTATAACCAAATACAAATCTATGAAATGGCTCTCCCACAAGCTGAAGCTGACAATACATCTACGTGAAAACACGAGTCTCAACAATATTGAGTAAATACATCATCTACCTTTTGTATTCTCATAAATCTTCAATTGTGTGTACTGTTGTTTTTCTGATTCCTCCTCCACATTTGAATACTGCGATGGAGCCGTGATTTGATCTGAAACACATCGTAATATTTTAGTGCTAACAGATCCAGAGACAAGTGTTATACCAACTAAACAGAAACATCCAATAACCAGAACATACCTAGAGATGAATATCCTCTGTTGTCCATTTCCACAGGGTCAGGATGGCTGGAGCTACAAAACAGCATCAGGTCATTTTCAGACATTTGAAATAAAAGAATCGAGGGATAAACCTCAGAATGTAAAATGTAATGAATCATCTTAATTAACCTTTCGTAAGTTACAACCTTATTTCTTAGTTTTACCTGATCCATGCAATGTTTCTGTGAACTATATTGACATATGGATTACCTTTTTCGTGCAGCTCCTGGAAAATAGGAATAGTTATAATGTCATGGAGTGTGAAACACACTTCACAAATATATTGATGTCACATCAGTCATAAGCAAAATGGAGAGAGAAACAGATGACCTTTCTGTAAATTACCGTGCGTGGAAACTACAACCATACATACATAAACTCACATTAAAGTGTAAATGTATTACCATCAATCAATATACGAAATATTGACATCCTCTGATTTCTTAAATCTTCGGTGGTGTCAAGGAACCTACATGTGGAAAAGCACCTACTGCCTGCAAGGTACACTATGTACCTTTGAGAATGTTTCCAAATCTGTACCCCTTTCTGTACAGCACCATTAGGACAATCCCTCCAATGAGCAGGGTAAGAAGAATGCCTCCTACTGTCGCTCCTGCTGTTACCCCTGTACTGATACACGACGCTTCAAGCCTTAGCTGGTCTGGTGGGTCTAAAATGCAATTAAAACGATCATACAGACGGCTGATACTGTCCAATTTTCGCTGCCCCACACAAATCATTAGTGTTTGTGCCAAGCTACACACAACGTTTTCTCAACGTTTCTGGAAGGTTGTACATTGGTAACGTCATGATACAACATTGTCACAACATTATTATGACGTCAGTGTATAACGTTAATTCACACCGATACAGCAACATTACATACGCACGTTGTCAGAACGTCGTGTATCGACTATTACACGCCGTTATGTTTCATCGTTTGTGAAACTTTGAAGCGACGTAAACTGTCGCTTTACCGAAAATAGCAAGAACAAAAGCGTACATCGAATAATTCATAATTTCTTCAGAAAACAAGACTGTAGTGCATTATTTACCTTTAATATTCCACTTTGGGATTTCCATCCCATAAATATACTGAAGGCACAGACATGTAATTTCTATCTGACAACTTTAATATCACGTCATGTGGAACGTTATATCACAACGTTATAAAACCGTTGAACATTTACGTTGGGGAACGTTATGAATGAGGCTCCTCGCTACTTTACGATAACAACGTTTCTTACCATTTGGTGGCACGATAGAGTTTCTGTAAACCCTCTAGGAACAAAGGTGTTTATTCGAAATCCACTTTGAGATTCGGTCTTCACTAAACAGCTACACATGCTACTCTTCAAGCGGCGGGTTATACTACAAACGGCGCAGGTTAAATTCCAAAGATGAGTGAAAACTATAAAACTCATTTTCATTTTATTGTCTGCAATATGCCAGTGACATGGTCAATATTCCACCAGGCAATGCAGTGACACGATAATCAAGTCAAGCAAATCAGCGAGTCTGACCACCAGGGCCCCGTTCCTCAAAGCGATCGTAGCGCTACGACAGTCGTAAGTCTATGTTAAAGTATGGGAGTTACGATCACCTTAGCGCTACGATCGCTTTGAGGAACGGGGCCCTGAACCATTCAGTCGCCGTTTACAACAGGCAGGGGTTAATGAAGACCAGTCCTTCCCTAGTTCCCAAAGGGGTTCATTCCAAGTGTTATTCACGCACAGCCTCATCACATCAAATCCCGACATAAATGTTTACTGTAACTCCGAAAATTTGCTAAATGATACGTTTTAATCAACGTTGATGGACGTACTAGCATTTACCCCCTTATATCTGATGATGAAATGGTATTTATACTCATAAACGTTTCACGCTTTACATCAGCTATACTACATTTAATTTATCCAGCTATATGACCATTTGCGTTCCCTTTATGTTCTTACCACCAGCAGTCACAGCTTCTGTCAATACATTTCCATGAGAATCCCCGTAGTCATTTCTAGCTTGTAGTCGGAATATGTAAATCTCTCCAGGTATAAGCCCGGTCACTTCTACCGCCATCACCTCACCGGGGTCATCATAGGATTTGTACACAGTCCACGTTCTTGTAGCAAACTGAAGATACTCAATGACAAACGTCTGAGTGCGTCCACCATTGAACCCAGGCAGCCAATACAACCATATTGACGACGTTGTTGCATTATCCAGATCTCTAAACTGTGTAGGTGTCTGTGGTGGTCCTTGCAACAAATTAAGATGAAAAAACATCCCGTAACTATTGATATCATAAGTTCATAAGTTGAAATAAATCAAATGAAGGTTAAATGGAAACAAATTTGAAAAAGATGTCACCAGATGAATTTGGTCAGCTTCAATAGTAAATCTGAAATCATAACACACCATAATGATTTTAAAGTTGTAATCCCAACTAGTAACACACCTACATGCAGCACACTGACTGTGTATGTCGCTGACCCGCCCACAATATTGTCCACTGTAAGATAGTAGTCCCCAAAGTCCTGCTGTTGGAGGTTAGTAAGGTGTAGTCTGGCAGTGACTGAGATGTCTGTGACAGGGCTGGAGGAACCAGTGAGGTACTGGCTGGTGCTGATGGATCTACTCCAGGTGAATGTAGGAAGGGGGTAGGCCAGGACTGACACAGATAGAGTCACGTCACCAACCAGTGTAGCGGCGTACTTGAGTTGCTGGGACACTGAGTCATCAAGTCGAGGTGAACCTGGTTAAACGTAGATAACAACATCCACAATGGCTCGGGGACGACTACTAGCCTGGTCACACAGGAGGGGAAAGAACAAATTGACAGCTGGTAATGAGGCTGATTCAGTAGATCAAATAGCAGGTTTATGTACGTACTCCAAAACAATAACAGTGAAATTGTTCTTCATGACTTGTTATGCTTAAGTTCTTTTTGTTGTTGTCATCTCACGATACTCTACATTGCAGAAATATAACACACACACACACACACACACACACACACACATATATATATATATATATAAGTAGCAAATCAAAAATAGAAGGATACCATAAGCATTTCATTTGATTAATTTAGAAGAATCTCCTTCACTTGACAAACTTAGCTACAGATAATAGCAATATCTAAAACCATAAATGACAATAATCACAACATAACCACGCGAACATATTTTCCAAACACATTACGTGTAAATATATCCAACATTAATTTTGATGAAATACAAATTGCTTACATTTGACCAGCAGCTCCACCCTCTGGGTGACAGGTGCCCCGATGTTGTTGGTGGCAGTACAGGAGTAGTTCCCTCTTTGTCTACAGTCTGCTGGCTCCAGTCTGTATATTTTTGTCAGGGAGTTATCTGCCCTTGCAAACGCCTCAGTTCCATTTAGAAGCGTGATTACTGACCTTGGATTACTGTCAATCTGGCAGCTAAGTGTCACTGTATCAGACTCGTTAACTGTCACTGAGCCGCTGTGAGAGTTGGCGGTAAACATGCTTATGTCGGCTGGGTCTGATAAATGAGAACCATTGCATCATTGATATGGCATTGACATGTCTGAACACTGAATTCAATATGCGGTTTTCTGAAAGTGGAAAAAACTGTTTTATTTACCTATCATACGGCAACATATTTATGTTTGGATAGAGTGCATATGACTGTAAATCTTTGTAAAATAGTTTACAATCGAATTGAGTTAAATAATTACTGAACGGGTACATGGGCTGCACGTACGACTGTCAGTATTTCAGCTCATGTACTTGCACAGAATAATAACGAGGACTATCGCAAGAGTAGAATACTAATATATATGCTTACACCAAATATAGATACACTTACCATAACACTTGTGTCCACTGTAGATTTGGATACTTATACGGAAGATGAACACTGACTGCAACACTGTCACCAGTGTAGACTATATACTTACACTGAACATCAACACTGACTGTAACACAGTCACTAGTGTAGACTATATACTTAAACTGAACATCAACACTGACTGTAACACTGTCACCAGTGTAGACTATATACTTATACTTAAGATTACAAAATGACTGTAACACTGTCACCAGTGTAGACTATATACTTACACTGAACATCAACACTGACTGTAACACTGTCACTAGTGTAGACTATATACTTACACTGAACATCAACACTGACTGTAACACTGTCACCAGTGTAGACTATATACTTACACTGAACATCAACACTGACTGTAACACTGTCACCAGTGTAGACTATATACTTACACTGAACATCAACACTGACTGTAACACTGTCACCAGTGTAGACTATATACTTACACTGAACATCAACACTGACTGTAACACTGTCACCAGTGTAGACTATATACTTACACTGAACATCAACACTGACTGTAACACTGTCACCAGTGTAGACTATATACTTACACTGAACATCAACACTGACTGTAACACTGTCACCAGTGTAGACTATATACTTACACTGAACATCAACACTGACTGTAACACTGTCACCAGTGTAGACTATATACTTACACTGAACATCAACACTGACTGTAACACTGTCACCAGTGTAGACTATATACTTACACTGAACATCAACACTGACTGTAACACTGTCACCAGTGTAGACTATATACTTACACTGAACATCAACACTGACTGTAACACTGTCACCAGTGTAGACTATATACTTACACTGAACATCAACACTGACTGTAACACTGTCACCAGTGTAGACTATATACTTACACTGAACATCAACACTGACTGTAACACTGTCACCAGTGTAGACTATATACTTACACTGAACATCAACACTGACTGTAACACTGTCACCTGTCACCAGTGTAGACTATATACTTACACTGAACATCAACACTGACTGTAACACTGCCACCAGTGTAGACTATATATACACTGACTGTAACACTGTCACCAGTGTAGTAACATCAACATCAACACTGACTGTAACACTGTCACCAGTGTAGACTATATACTTACACTGAACATCAACACTGACTGTAACACTGTCACCAGTGTAGACTATATACTTACACTGAACATCAACACTGACTGTAACACTGTCACCAGTGTAGACTATATACTTACACTGAACATCAACACTGACTGTAACACTGTCACCAGTGTAGACTATATACTTACACTGAACATCAACACTGACTGTAACACTGTCACCAGTGTAGACTTCATGCTTACATTGAACATTAACACTGACTGTAACACTGTCACCAGTGTAGACTATATACTTACACTGAGCATCAACACTGACTGTAACACTGTCACCAGTGTAGACTATATACTTACACTGAACATCAACACTGACTGTAACACTGTCACCAGTGTAGACTATATACTTACACTGAACATCAACACTGACTGTAACACTGTCACCAGTGTAGACTTCATACTTACATTGAACATTAACACTGACTGTAACACTGTCACCAGTGTAGACTATATACTTACACTGAACATCAACACTGACTGTAACACTGTCACCAGTGTAGACTATATACTTACACTGAACATCAACACTGACTGTAACACTGTCACCAGTGTAGACTATATACTTACACTGAACATCAACACTGACAGTAACACTGTCACCAGTGTAGACTATATACTTACAATGAACATCAACACTGTCCGCAACACTGTCACCTTTCCCGTGTGTTTTCTTTTTTGACTGACATATGTAGGAGCCTGTCTTGGATCTGTCAGCTTGATAGTGTAGACTATATCCACCCTTAAGGACTGAGGGCGTTGGTAGCTATACACACAACTATCCAGTATTCTAACAATGATACTTACACTGTACATCCAATGTCACCTCCACAGAGTCAGATCTCACTACAGATGTCTCCCTCCCTCATGAAGCCTGGGTGCTGGTAGCTGTACACACATATCTCCAGTATTCTAACAATGATACTTACACTGTACATGCACTGTCATCTCCCTAGACTCTGACTGTGGTAAAGCTGCCCCCACACAAGGACTGAGGGTGTTGGTAGCTGTACACAAATATGTCCAGTATTCTAACAATAATACTCACACTGTACATCCAGTGTCACCTCCACAGAGTCAGATCTCACTACAGATGTCCCCCCAATAAAGACTGGGGGTGCTGGACAGATGTCCCCCCCATAAAGACTGGGGGTGCTGGTAGCTGTACACACATATCTCCAGTATTCTAACAATGATACTTACACTTTTCATCCACTGTCATCTCCCTCGACTCAGACTGTGGTAAAGCTGTCCCCCCACAAGGACTGAGGGTGCTGGTAGCTGTACACACATATGTCCAGTATTCTAACACTGATACTTACACTGTACATCCACTGTCACTTCCACAGAGTCAGATCTCACTACAGATATTCCCACACAAGGACTGAGGGTGTTGGAAGCTGTACACACATACGTCCCTGCCTGTGATCTCCGTATGTTATTGATGGTCAGAGTAGATCCAGTCTGAGGAGTAAAGCTGCTGTCATCTTTCTTTGTCCACGCCACGGCTGCTACAGGGTTGGCATCCACAGAGCAGGTTATGTTGAGAGTCTGTGACTCCCTGACAGGTGTGGACTGGGGAACTGACACTGTAGGTTTGTCTGGAGACACATACATGCACATACTTGTAGAAATCGTGGCTTCATAGTTACGTAGGTTCAACTACATTTACCAAAGTGCGTAATGGTATCAGTCTGTCTAGCACATAAATGATTGGCTGTAAACCAACTAAACCATGTGTGTGTCACAATTCCAAAACTAACTATAATGTCACCTGTTTAGGATTGATGTGATACAGGTATAGATGCTTACAACACCACTGGAGGCATTGTTAAAGTGAAAGTACGTATATTGAAGCTATCAGATAAAATGTTATTTGATTGTAACATGAGGTATATTATAGTTTTATGAAAGTGCACAATACACTTTCGGTTATCCACGTGATCTTCAACCTGTGTTCTCGTGGACTGGTCTGTGAATGCATATAATGCGCAATCCATGGACCTACAAGCTATTTCATGATGCAAACATTCACGTTCTTAAGCTCCTACCAGCACATGTATAGCTTCCCCAACACAAACACATCTTTGTCTTTCAGTAGTGTAATCATGTTACTTACACTGCACCTCCACTGTGACAGCTACCACACTAGGCGTCCCCACTGAGTTCCTTCCAGCATATGGATAGCTTCCCCAACACACACACATCCTTGTCCTTCAGTAGTGTAGTCATGTTACTTACACTGCACCTACACTGTGACAGCTGACACACTAGACGTCCCCACTGAGTTCCTCCCAGTACATGTATAGCTTCCCCAACACACACACGTGCGCACACACACACACATCTTTGTCTTTCAGTAGTGTAGTCATGTTACTTACACTGCACCTCCACTGTGACAGCTGACACACTAGACGTCCCCACTGAGTTCCTCCCAGCACATGTATAGCTTCCTCCCCTGCTCCTGGAGACAGGACTCAGACTGTACTCTCTGCTTGTTGCTGGTGAGATAGGAGAACCATTGTGTGTCCAGATGTAAGACGTCACTGCTGGGTTGGCTGCCGTTACTTGACAGATCAGTTGAGCATTGGGCTGCCCTACATAGACACTGTGTGGTTGACATGTGGGGCTCAGTGTTGCCTCAGGGGCATCTGCATGTATAAGGAAGATTCATATATTTGTGGATCACTTCTTGAACATATTAAAACCATTTGAACTTGTATTTTCAGGCTCTGGCAAGCAATATAAAATACACGAATTACATCATCAAGAAGACAACATATCTAGTAATGAATCGTACCACCTTGCACCATACATTACAATTCGCGTTGTCAAATCAGCCTCATCGTACGCTATTCGTTTTGATTATCTTGGACTCAGCTATGATTACGTACATTTTAATTAAACTATTGGAGCAAAAGGTTTTTTTTTAATGTATATATTTTTATATGTTTTTATTTCTAAAAGATACACGTTAAATATAACAGGCAATCCATATCGAATACACACATACATACAAACCAGCTCTTTAGTTGCAGTGATCATGAAAGCGTACAGCACTCATTATCTGATAATGTATTGAATACATATGCAGTTGCAAACCATCTGTCAAGTCATGTTGTGTTGTCATGGAAATGTACAGTAATCATTGTCTGAGTAATGATAGTATCTGATTAATAATAGTGCATCATACATACATGACATACATACATACATACATACATACATACATACATACATACATACATACATACATACATACATACATACATACATACATACATACATACATACATACATACATACATACATACATACACACACATACATACATACATACACACACATACATATACATACATACATACATACATAGAAACATACATACATACATATACACATAGAGACACACACACCGACACATACATACATACATACATACACACACATAAAAACATACATACATACATACACAGACACACAGACACACACAAATACACATACACACATACATTCATACACACACATAAATACACACACATACATACATACACACATACATACATACATACATACATACATACATACATACATACATACATACATACATACATACATACATACATACATACATACATACATACATACATACATACATACATACATACATACATACATACATACATACATACATACATACATACATACATACATACATACATACATACATACATACATACATACATACATACACACACACATACATACATACATACATACATACATACATACATACATACATACATACATACATACATACATACATACATACATACATACATACATACATTACATACATACATACATACATACATACATACATACATACATACATACATAGTCATGAATGTGTACAGTAATCATTATCTGAGTAATGATAGTATCTGATTAATAAAAGTACATCGTCATATAATTATTTTATGTGGGACAACAATACGTCTAGGTAAACTTTGCCTATTACTTATTATTCTGCTAGGAGAGTGTGGAGAGATGACCAAAATGTAAAAAAATTGCTTGGTCAGTGTGTGAAAAACTGCACTCAAACAATAGGTGCCGTACCGACTCTCGTGTCTGTTTACAAAATGCGCATAATGGTGATTCTTTAATTCCAATCTATGTAAGTAAGTATTGTTACACTATTCTGAGTAATCTTTTATTGGAAATATTTCAAATTTACACTCTGTGTACATCTATTGGGCATTAAATTTATATTCTCCCATTCATTTGGGGAAAATCGTCTTCCTAATATTTTATCCCATTTATGTTGATCTGTTGTTTTAACAAAGGTAAAGTCGCATAATATTTGGTAATAATATTTACTTTTCTTTCCATTTCTCACAAAACTTATATTGAATGATAAAATAGGATATACTTGTTTATTTGGAAGCATTTTAACAGACATATTTTTCTTCTTGAAGTAGTCAAGTACTGCATTCTTAATGCTAAGGTATTCAGGGAAATTAGTGTCAATACAGAAAATGCTTTTAATATATTCAAGGGAGTAAATGATACATTTTGATTTATAATAATATGACTCAGAAATATAATTCCCTTTTCCTCCCATTTCTTGAAACAAACCGGTTTTCCTCCTATTAAGATGTTATAATTACACCATATTGATTGGCTTAATATATCCTTTCCCTCAGATACCCTTTGGTTGCCAATGTTTATACACTCTGACTATGCCGTCAGTACATCTATCCAATTTTTTTGGTGATTTACGGTAGTATATTTTTGATAATATATTCTCAATCAGCCGTCCATAGCCTTGACATATTTGGAATGTATATTGAAGCATTATTTTTCCATAATATATTCTCATTCAATAAGCTTTTAATCCACATCAACATTTGTGCTTTAATAGTATTTATTTTATAATTGGAACATTAACAATATTTTTTACATTTGGAACAAAAGCATTTGTTGGTTATACTTGGAAAGCATGAAATCGTACATATACGCATGAGATGGTCTTTCTTTACCATGCTAAACATGCAGGCTATTTTTGGGTGAATCAGCGGAGACATACGCCGACGTATGGCAATTAAATTGGTGTATGCCGCAAGAATCAAGTTACGAAACATAATCTCGTCATAGTCATGAGGAAAGTGATATCGGACAGCACCCTCCATCGTGATTCAGGCTCGGTTGCTTGCTGCAAAGAATAAGCACTACTACGGAATATGGAGAAACTTGATCTCACTCACCGACTGGAACTACCGTGCCTTCGTGATGCATTATTGGCAAAGGCCATCCCCATTGTACCAACGGCACTGAGGGCAATGTTTGGAACACATTGGGTGTTTCATAATATAACGAGTGTTGGTAATATGTCATCTGTAGAATAACCCACTGGACAGGTTTCTCATCCACAGCAGTCTCAGACTGATGCCTCTCAAGGAGAACCCTGCCATTCTCTCAAGGAGTGTGAGGGAGTTTAGTTTTACGCCGCTTTTAGCAACATTCCAGCAATACCACGGCGGGAGACATCAGAAATTGGCTTTACACATTGTACCCATTGGAGGTTCGAATCTGGGTCTTCAGCTTGACGAGCAAACGCTTTAGCCATTAGGCTACCCCATCGCCCCTTCTCTCAAGAGAACCCTAAAGTCATTCTAAACTTATAAAAAATATTTCAGCATCAAGCAATATGTCAAAAGTTTCATTATTTTTAAAAGTAAGACAAACCTAAGTTTTGGAAAATCACGCTATTTCAACAAATTGAGTCGGGGATTCAAAGAGAATCGAATTCGAAGAGTTGTTTATTTATGCAAATTTATACATATGGAGATATGCTTAATGATGTGCCTTCCAGATCCAAACAATAGGTTCTAAACGTTATACAGCAGGCTTTATTAGACAATACTCACACGTGACATCCACCGAGACACTTGAGCTGTCAACAGTCCCGTGTGTATTGGAAGCCTGACACTTGTAGGATCCTGTCTGTGACCTGTCAGCCATGGGGAGTGTCAGTGTAGCTCCATCACTGTGAGATGTCCCATTCTTGAACCACTTGTATGTACAGGCAGGTTTGCAGGTGATTGAACACAAGATACTTGGTACACTCTCTTGACCTTCCCTCCTGGTGTAGGACAGAGTGGAGGGTTGTAGTACCACAGCATAGGGGCCATCTGCCAGAAAAGAAGAACAGTGAAACAGATTAAACCAATGTGTGTACACACAGATGGCTGAACACGAGATGCTTGGTACACTCTCTTGACATTCCTTCCTGGTGTAGGACAGAGTGGAGGGTTGTAGTGCCACAGCCAGGGGGCCATCTGCCAGAAAAGAAGAACAGTGAAACAGATTAAACCAGTGTATGTACACACAGGTGGCTGAACACAGGATACTTGGTACACTCTCTTGACCTTCCCTCCTGGTGTAGGACAGAGTGGAGGGTTGTAGTGCCACAGCCTGGGGGCCATCTGCCAGAAAGGAAGAACAGGGAAACAGATTAAACCAATGTATGTACACACAGGTGGCTGAACACAGGATACTTGGTACACTCTCTTGTCCTGCCCTCCTGGTGTAGGACAGAGCGGAGGGTTGTAGTACCACAACATAGGGGCCATTTGTCAGAGAGGAAGAACAGTGAAACAGATTAAACCAATGTATGTACACACAGATGGGGGAACACAGGATACTTGGTACACACTCTTGACCTTCCCTCCAAAACATGATTATTCAGAAAGTGTTCGGTAAAACGTTTTGTCTTCGGCAGCCAATCCCCGTCATGTTGGGGTCCAGCAGGGACTGGTTTGAGTCAGACATTTTCCTAAGATTTAAATTGTTCCTATGTCATGTCTTTTTTTTAAGGAGTATATATATGCTCTTACCGCTGCATTAATGATTGATCTTCAGTAACCTTTGATTGACACATTTCAGCGTATCTCAATTGCGTAGATCGATCATGATGTTGATCACTGGATTGTCTGGTCCATACTTGAGTATTTACAGACCGAGTGTGGCGTAAATCGATATTCACTCACTGATGATTTTCTAACCTTCCAATTTTCCCCCACATCCAAAATGAAATGTAAGAAAATGAATGAAAATATATATTAAAAATATTCAAACCCGTGCGGAGGTATCAGTGAAATCCATCATAATATCTTAAAGTATAACCGTCAGAATAGCGATCAAGTACCCCATGCACCTTCTCTGCAAGGCGGCTTAGTTTTAATGTAGAATAGTGGTATGAATTTCCTTAGACCCACATTGTGGCTCCATGTTGTACACCTGGCTCCACTCGGACTCCGGACCCTGACTTTCTCTCGCTCTACATCTGTAGCTGTGACTGTCCCGGGAAGTCACTGTGAAGGTGTAGGGGGAACCAGTGGAGGTAACTGTGATGTCAGTGTTGTCACGCTGCCAGGTGTAGGTCAAGGTCAGACCATGGTCAGCTGGGACAGTGACAGAGGTGGAGCTGCAGGTCAAGGTCACTTGTCCTCCAAACACAGGGGATGGTGGTCCACTGAGAGTTGGCTTGGTGGGTTGACCTGAAAATGTTCAAGTGTCGTTCAAGTATACTGAGCATATCTCTCATACGGTTGTGAATACATGAGTTGAAAGCGTTATGTTCAAAACTAGAAATAACTGAATTAATAAATAAATTACAAAAAACTGCGCTAACACAAGGACGGGAAAACACCGAAAACATCTGTCATATCTTGAAGACGTATGTTTGTGGTCTAACAATCTAAAACGCGAACGCAGCAAGGAAGGACTTTGTGAACGTTCTCTTGCTTAACAGGTTTTTGACATCACACCGTTGAACAGTTCAGTGTAACTTACAATTCGTGTTCTGTGAAAACATTTGACTTTTCAACGTTATACATCACTTCGTAGCAAACGTAAAGAAAGACTTGATGCCTTCATTCATGGTGCATTTGTTAATAAAAGTGGTGAGGATAGGTATACTTACATTTCTATATCAAAAGTTTCGGGGTATTTGGCGATAAAGAGAACGCAAGCAAGTGTAATCTGTAGTTTACTGGGAAAACTAAACTGACCGGCAAAAGAAGGTATACCAAAAGTTACCATTTCTCAAATTTAAAAGAACAATTTTTGTATGTAAATTATCCACTGAAACATGTCGCCCAAACGCAGCAATTTGATACCTGCAGTGAAATTCACGTGCACGTAGTGAATAAAACATCAAAGTTGTCAATTGTATAAACCATTACTTTGGGCCTCTGTCAGAGTTTCACATGCACTAAGGGTATAAAAGATAGTGTGCGGACAGGTTACACAGATATGCCACGACTATCATCAGTTGAACGTGAGAGGGCCATAGGTATGCTCCAGATGGGGTCGACACACGTTAACGTTGCGAGATCCTTCGGCTGCAGCCGTGGAGCCGTCAGTAGACTACTGCAACGTTACAGGCAGACGGGCCAGGCACAGGACAGACCAAGAAGTGGGACGCCGCGGGTAACAACACCAGCTGAAGAAAGGCATTTGAGGACGGTACGCATGTGAAACCGTTTCCTGACGGTAACGTCATTAACGGCGAATTCCCTTGATCGTGTCAGTCGATACAAGGTGGCTAGACGTCTTCGGCCAGCAGGTATCAGAGCCTACAGACCCTTCAAAGGACAGGTGTTGACCCCTGAAAACAGACGTCACAGATTGCGTTGGGCCCCAGTTGTTTGTCGTTGGCAGCGTCACGACTGGGCTCGTGTAATGTTCAGTGGCGAAAGCAGGTTTTCCCTATACAGCTCTGATCGACGTTTATACCTTCGTGGAGGTGAACGTTTGGCTGCTTGTTGTGTCCCAGAAGTTAGATCCTACGGTGGTGGGCGTGACATGGTTTGGGGAGCCATCTGTGGAGAAGTTATATTATTGTTGGGACTTTGATTGCAGAGAGGTATAGGGACTCAGTTCTGCATGCAATCGGCCTCCCGTTTCTTAAACAGCAGGCTAATCGTGTCGTCTTCCAACATGACAATGCACGCCCTCATACTGTGACCGATTTTCTGGAGAGGAACAACGTGAAACTATCTACCGTGGCCAGCACGTTCTCCAGACATATGGGATGCACTAGACAGACGTGTGCGGAAACGCCCTAACCCACTGACGTCTTCGGGTAGAAGGAGTGTGCGTGCCTGTATTGATGCAAGGAGTGGACATATATGATACTAGAGTGATGGCAGTGAACATGTATTGTGTGTAACGCAGTACCTGCTTATCCTCTATGTGAATGGAAGCTGGTTTTCAGGACCCCCAGTGAACTTGCGCATGTCTGACGCCACGTGTGTCTGTAGTATGCGTGTGATGTTTAGCTCAGGTTGAGGAAAGATGTTCTTAACACCACTGCATTATGTTTTGTGTGTCTTTGTCGTCTGGGTCAATGAAAATGGCCTCTTGAAAACCTTTCGCCTCTTGAAAACCTTGTATACTTTCTTTTGCCGGTCAGTTTATATATGAAATACAAGCCTTCTTCACCAGTACAGTCAACGTAAAATGTAAGGTAAACATTTAAACAAGAGGTAGCTCTATCCATGGACACGAGTTGGGCTCCTACCCTTTGGATGTGTTTCTTTAAGCTTATGAATCTGAATTTTGGCTTGGTTTGACAAAGTCAATACTAAGTAATTTGCCCAAACAGTACTTCCTCTCCAGGTGTATCGATGATGTAATATGTCGTTCAAGAATCATGAAATAGCCAATTCACATGCACAAATAAAACTCAGAGACATTGTATTTTACTGGTCAAAGTGAAATACAAGATTGTACCCTGTTCCTGTTTTAAGGGTTGTTTCCCGAGAGTGAGTGACACCTTTAATAGTATTTCTACATATAATAATTACCTGGATCAACCATGTTATTTTCCCTTATGTACATATGTATGTACCCTGTGATGAAGCCAAAATCTTTATGATCTTACTAACATGTAACATCGATGGAAATATTTCTGCTGCAATAATTCTCTACAACCGTATTCTGTGTCTAATGCTACGGCCACACGTATGCTAGTCGTGTTTATTACATGACTGGCAATTGAATGGCACTGTTACTATGTAATCTAAACATAATCCTCGCTTGTATCATGTAATGTAAGTAGTTCGGTGTCCTTGTTTTATTATTTGACAGACAAATGACTGACACTGTTGGTAACATTTCCTCACATACTCTTACCTAGAACAACCAGCTTCTGTCCACATTGAGGTATGATGTCAGATACTCCACCATACCCACAGATGTAGGTCCCAGCATCAGATCTGACAACACTACGGAGGTCAAAGGCCATGGCCTTGGGGTCAGCAGTTAGATTCCCGGTGTAGGTGACACGAGCTGTGTAGTTCCCCAGTATCTGGTTGTTATTGAGTGTGTTGGCCAGTAGTACTACAGCTCCAGATGGACTGATGACATACATGACAGTGAATCCCCCTGATACAGCTGGTACCTGCCACCTGAAGCTGGCTGTCTCAGACTCCCTCACTATCACAGGACTGGTCAGCTGAGACTGTACACCTGTGGAAACGTTGTGTTATATGCTCATGTGCGCAGTGATGACTTAACACTCAGTCTACGATGGATTTAAAGAGTGTCACGCAGTGTGTCAAACGTTGTTTAAATGATGTTCCGATAATCAAGCTTTCGACACGTTTTATGGCAGGCATAAGGAGGATATTCCAAGCATTGGCTCACAAAACTTATGTTGTGATAACGACCAAAAACTACGGGGTTTGTGTATTCAGACTTTTATATTGTCAACAAACGCGCTTATACCGACATCAGAGCAGAGAGATATCATCAAAATCCCATTATAGGTGATTGTGTTTTACATACAACGGCCTTGTACAACAAAGACAGTGAGAAATGGCAATGTATCTTTTATAAACAAGTATCACCAGTATCATGACCAGTTTGACCCATTACATCCTACAGTGTTTTCTGACTCGTTCGACAATTTCTGCAACTGCAATGCATGTATTCTGATATATCCCTACTGTATAGAAAGAAGCAGTTCTGAAACACGAACCTAAATGGTTTACAGTTTAACACTTGAAAATAGATATTTCTCTATGGACACTTCGCAAAGCATATGGAAAGTGCAGACATAAACTAAAACGAACCTTTTAACAATGGCCGTACATTAGTTTTAAACCCGAACTAAGATCCAAACATAGATTACACATTTAGTCAGTACTAGTGCCAGAGCCAGTTTACATTCAAATGCCTCTACTTCGGTTGATTGACTTCGTTCCCCAGATATTATTGCTCTGATTTCTATGGACGCCACGGACTGAGGAGGTGCACTGTTTCACCGAATCCTCTCGGAGAATGGAGAAAACACAACAACACAGTGTAGAGATTGTTGATTTTGTGCATTGGGCTAAATGTATTAGAAATGTAAAAAACGGATATTGTACTGGATCTGACCCGAACACATCGAGGAAAGTGGAAGTTAGTGGATAAGGTAAAACTTCACCTGTGTGTGTGTAAGAGTATTACAAAAACAGAATAAACCTACCAGTGATGACAATTCCGATAACATACATCATCAAACCCGCATGCAAAGTATCCATGACAAAACTGGTCGGATTGGTCATGTCTCTGTAAAGAAAACGATTTCTGGTTGAATTTAACAATCAGTATCATTATCACATGTCTGGTTTAATAGGGATATATGTTGTCTCTCTTTTTGGTTTCCCATAAAACCAATTCTTTATTTATTCATTCTTCTGTATTCTTCATTCTCTAAGCATGTGCAAAATGACGTTAAGCCAAACTCACTCTCTTATCCAAAGGTAACACGACAAGTCATCTGCCTTTGGTCTGTCGAAACTTACAGTTCAGCTTCCAAATTCAACGCACCTAATTCGATTCATCAAGTTTGAAACGTGGCCAGTTGTAAACACATCGATTCTATGCTGTCACTTTTCCAAATGTATTCCGTTCATCCGCAAATAATGGTATCAAACCAGATTATTGTTGTTCGTCAGGACATTTCAAAGTCCACTATCTGAGCCCCTGGTTGTCATTGGAAAGTGCCTCATGGGAAGTTATATCTTTATACTTGACTTGTACACTTGAGTTGTACACTGACACATTGATACACAAATTGAAACTCCACCACTTGTAGCATTCACCATATTCGTGAGCGACCTAAACGAAAACCGTTGCCCTGAACTGGCAGGATATGCTGGTGATATTTCTGTGGTAAAATGCAGATTAATCTCACCAGGCCGCCTTTGTGTGTGTAGTACAACCTTCCTGTGGGCCGTCTGTTTGTGTAAAGCTTTCAACAAGTCATGCAGCACTCATAATCCATATGTACATGCAACTGGTGTTCACCTGTGTAAACATACAGGTAGGCGTACTCTCGCTGGCATATTGCCAAGTGTGCTTCTGCTAGAAGTAATGGAGTTAAACGTAGAGTGTAATATAGATACCTACACCTCTTGTTTCATAACTCCCTGAAAGAGAACGCCAGCACCTGAAAATACGTACACTTAATATCCTATCCTAAACGTATCGAACCCTCTTGGATTCACTGTGTGCGACCACTGCTCTGTCTTTGCCTGGGTCTCCGTTTGGGCCGGGGGGTTAAAAGTACCCGGATGATTGTTGCATTGCCTAAAAACAACACTTACCTGGATTCAGCTGGTATGGTCTTCTAATTTGTATTTTATCCATGAAGCATCCTACCTACGTCTGGTGGAAACCTGAACACAGTGCACTAATAATATCACACATCATACTTCCTCATTGCTGTCGGGTAGGACGGGCTATATTTAGACCTAATATGTGGTAGCTCAGTGGGGACACATTCGTTCTATACTGATGTCATGCTGAAGTGATCCTTCAATAACAGAACATTTGCCTTATATCCGAATGCATTGTGTGGAGAAATGAGATTGCAAAGTCACCAACCAGTCTATATTGTAAAATCCCATTCATAATTAACTGGGTAAGTTTGCAACAAATCAACCCATGTCAAGGATTATCGGATGCACATTTCACGGTTGATATGTGTCATTGTATTTCATCCATATCCATTTTCTTACTACAAGAAAGCATCTAGCACCGTTGGATGTGGAATACCTCTACGTTTCCCTAATGGCGGGTCCCTCTTGACTATTGAATAGTGTCTCCTAGTTTGGTACGTTTACTTGATGTCTTTACAAACTTCAAGACCCGACACTGACTACGTGGAATACCTCTACGTTTACCGAATGGCGGGTCCCTCTTGACTATTGAATAGTGTCTCCTAGTTTGGTGTGTTCACTTGATGTCTTTACAAACTTCAAGACCCGACACTGACGATGTGGAATACCTCTACATTTCCCTAATGGCGGGTCCGTCTCGACTATTGAATAGTGTCTCCTAGTTTGGTAGTTTACTTGATGTCTTTACAAACTTCAAGACCCGACACTGACTACGTGGAATACCTCTACGTTTACCGAATGGCGGGTCCCTCTTGACTATTGAATAGTGTCTCCTAGTTTGGTATGTTTCCTTGATGTCTTTACAAACTTCAAGACCCGACACTGACTACGTGGACTACCTCTATGTTTCCCGAATGGCGGACCCCTCTTGACTATTGAATAGTGTCTCGTAGCTTGGTATGTTTACTTGATATCTTAACAAACTTCAAGACCCTACACTGAAGATGTGGAATACCTCTACGTTTACCGAATGGCGGGTCCCTCTTGACTATTGAATAGTGTCTCGTAGGTTGGTATGTTTACTTGATGTCTTTACAAACTTCAAGACCCGACTCTGACGATGTGGAATACCTCAACGTTTTCCGAATGACGGGTCCCTCTTGACTACTGAATAGTGTCTCCTAGTTTGGTACGTTTACTTGATGTCTTTACAAACTTCAAGACCCGACACTGACGATGTGGAATACCTCTACGTTTCCCGAATGGCGGGTCCCTCTTGACTATTGTAAAGCGTCTCCTAGTTTGGTATGTTTACTTGATGTCTTTACAAACTTCAAGACCCGACACTGACGATGTGGAATACCTCTACGTTTCCCGAATGGCGGGTCCCTCTTGACTATTGAATAGTGTCTCCTAGTTTGGTATGTTTATTTGATGTCTTTACAAACTTCAAGATCCGACACTGACGATGTGGAATACCTCTACGTTTCCCGAATGGCGGGTCCCTCTTGACTATTGAATAGTGTCTCCTAGTTTGGTATGTTTACTTGATGTCTTTACAAACTTCAAGACCCGACTCTGACGATGTTCCTATGTGTACTACAATGGGTAGAGGTTTGCCCTGAACCCTTAAAGTTGAAGTACGGAGTGTTAGTCGTAACCTCTGCTCTGGGATAGGTTTCGTCTGATTTTTTAAAATAGTTAAGCAGCGGAAAATTGCAATGTTATTTTCTGCAATGTTTAACATGCATCAACATGTAGGCTCATTTTTAGGAATTGTGTGTATGTTATAGCTCAGGGCCGTTTTCATATTGTGCCCAGGCTGAGGTAAGAATATAAACTAGCGCTCGTAAGAAAGCATACAGTGTTGAAAAGAAAAGAAACACATATATAAGGCGTTTTCTGTATATCAAAATGTTATCAAATTAGGAGTTAAACGTACTGTGTTAGACAGAATTGATAGTCTCTAAATTTCATTTTGAACCGAACGCGGTTCAAATGATTAATTTAGAGAGTGTCAATTCTGCCTAACATTCACATAAGTTTCCAACACAATACGTTTATCTCCATTCTACCATAACCGATTTAAAATCCATTTCCTTCCTTCCGCGGAAGACACTGCGACATCCGGCATGGTGCGAGAGGCGAATTGAACTCTTCTGTGAAGGGAGTAGAAGGCTGTAGGTGCCTCCACCCCGGCAAGCTACGAAAACAGTGACAGTGCTGCTTTGTGTACATGCGACTAACTTGGGATTCCTTGAAACATTGGTTTCATCATTTGGGACTGGATTGTGGCCAAGCTTTTTTCAAAGTGTACGAACATAGATCACCAGCAGTGACAGTCTTGTGGGGAAGCTGGCAGAGCAGAATTCTGGTGGTTCAATTTTTTACATGTATTTTTTGAACGATGCAACGGGACATGATGGAGTGTGAGTGGAATAAATTTTGTGAACATTTAGCCTGACCGTTACCTTGCGAATTTCCAATTCTTATGATTCTAAACGGAAACAAATATACCATTTACCAGGTAGGTAAATGTCTAGTAAGGATTTGCTGCACAGTTTGTATAGATAGCGATAAAAATTACAAGGCTTTCTGATTTACATGTTAGATAATGTTTGTTTATGTTTGGGGCTGTGTATTGTAATTGAAATTGAAAATTTTATTATTGAAGGTTATATGATAGTGAGGTTCCCTAATAAATTGGGGAGGAAAAATCATATAAAAATTGTATTTTTCGAGTTTTAATAAATGTTTTATCAGCATTTCCATCACGTCTGTTGTGTTGATATCAGCCATGTTGGTGGTCAAGCTGATGCGGCAGTGTTGCATACGTGCGCAGTGAAGCGGTCGTGAAATCAGACCAATTTTCAATCCAAAATTGATAGCGTCTAATTTTATTGATTGACCAGTCAAAACCGAGCATTTCACGTAGCCATGGTAGAATGATGAATCGATTGTGAGTGTGATCAACATTGGCTTCAATACACGCCAAAAACACGTCGACGCATTGCTGAAAGTAAGGCATAATCCGTTGCCACAGTTCTTTGATAGATATGGTAATAGCCTGTACTTGGCACCTTAGTCAATCAATCAATCAATCTTTATTCTCCTTTAACCTCCACGGTGGTACAAGAGCATAGGATATATAGTATACATAAATTTAATTGCATTGTTGGAAGATCGTTGCATTATTTACAGTTTGTGCGTGGCTTATTGATAATAGATATAAACTTTGATAATTTCTTAAGAATAGACAGTTTGTTGGATGCGAACAATGATTTCATCTTATACAAGTTAGAGAACGTACAATAATATGGTTCCAAATAGTGACGTCTAGTTTGAGTGAAGGCAGAACATCTAAATAGATAATGGAATTCATCAGCTGTTGAAGGTGAGTTACAGAGATGGCAGGTTCTATCATTTTGCGGGATGCGTTTCCAACGGCCAGTTTCAATTGGGAGATGACGATTACTCGTTCTAAATAATAGCAAGGGATAAGATATTTCTTTTGGTAATAGAAGGTATTTTTCAATTGATGGGAAATCTTTCAGGACACGATAATTTTCAGTCCTTTGGGACTGCTTCTGATGTCACATTGCCACCTTTGTAAAAACTGATCTTTTAGTACGTTTTCAACAGTAAGAGAAATATATTTCGTTGTACAGGTGAACGGGCCTGTACTTGGCACCTTAGTGCAAAGACCTATACAAAACGTACATAATATGGATCCGTGTAACTGACCTTGATTTACAATACGCACATACAGACGACTGACTTTTGTGTTGTGATGTAGCCCACGAGCAACAAAAATACTCACCATATCTGTTGACATGATATTCAAACGACTGATTGTGACACTGTAATCTCAAACCCAGCGGGTCTGTGCAGCAGTTTGCGGATTTGTTGTATTACGTACACAAAGATGTTATATTATTTATAATATTTTATGTAGAACTCTTAACACAGCAGATAATTTCCCAATATGGATGGATACGTGTGTATTTGGTGCAGTGGGTATCGGAGGAACCTTTCCAGTTCAATAAGACAGTAAATAAGCAAAAATACTTTAGAAAATGTTGTCTTAATACTAAAATGTCAGTGGTAATACGAGTGCAGTATATATTCAGTGTTTATGTCCGATATAACTCGTAATCTTTAAAAAGAAATTTGATACAAACAGACAATGAACACCATTCATCCTTCATTATGGCATATCCTCTCGTGAACTCATCTACTATTATAGAAAAAGACATACGCAATAAACATGTTAATGTGTGCACCGTCAATGTGGACAAAAGGCGGTGCAAGAAATTCTACCAGTCGGATTCCATGCAAGTAACATAAACGACTGTTATGTTCTGGGTTTATTTACTATAATGTACATACTACTTGGAAATATCATAGGGGAATACTATGAGGTAACGAGAAAATGATGACATTAAAACACACTACATGAGAGCTAAGAAACCTATCAGTTCACAGGCTGTGTATTACTATCCCGTGACATAGTGTCCGTCTCATCTGGTGTTTCTTCACGCATTCCTATAGTGAGGATCTGAAAACAGAATATCAGTTAAATGTGTCACATTATTATCGTACAGAATATGACAAAAATAAAAATATTGCATTCTACACTAGAACAGAAGCTTAGGTATTTGTTGGAAACTAACACTGCTTCTTGTGTACAATTCATTATTGTAACTTTCCTCTCATTCAATACGATAGATCACCTCAGTTGTGGGTACCTTCAGGTTGAGAGCCGCTGTTCTGGTATGGAGAAGCGCTGATGGACTCGTATGGTATAGGAGGCGTCTCTGTCATGTCTTCGTAGGTACTTGTTTCTGGTTTGGCATCGACTAAACAAAATATATACACATTATTACATACCCTTCCAAACGTAAACACAACGATACATACATGTATAATACCTGCAATATGGCATGTCTTCACTTCACTTATGATTGAGTTCTATAGTAATGTAAGAAACTGTATATATATACCGCTTGTATTCTCATAAACCTTCAGCTGTGTGTAATGTTGTCTTTCCGAACCCTCTGTATCCGTGGTTGGAGACTGAGCTGGACTGTTGATGTGATCTGTAACAAATCAACATGAATACATAAAACACGAGGTGTATGACTAAATGTGACCACCTGTATCAAACCTGATATGTTGAACCTACCTAGTGATGAATATCCTATGTTTTCCATTTCTTCAATTTCAGGATTTCTGGTGCTACAAAGGTAAAGGCGATCGATTATTGAATTCAATAATGGAAACGAACCTTCAGTATGTGACATTTAACGTATTTCAAACTTATTTCAAAACAGTTTATTTACAAATGAAGTATACCTTTTTCGAGAAGCATTTTCTGAAACAAAGAGAATGAACATTTAGTACACTGAAATAAACACAAATGAAGATTCGACAATTTGGATAATGTTGGTTACTGGTGCAGGGTTTGCAAAGGAAGAACAAGAAATGTGAAACGTTAATTATTTAATGAAAGAAAAAATTCTGCTCTGAAGGATATAATGTTTCATCGTTAATATATTACCACCCCTGGATTTGCGCATTTGAGTCAGAACTGATTCCCTGGTAACTTTGACATTCACCATAATAGTCATCAATATAGCCACTTTGATATGAAACATCTCTATTTTGTAAATATTTCATTAAATACTTCATGATTATACTTCCAATACAATGAGATTTAACAACATACCTGTCATGACGTTTCCAAACCTGAACCCCTTCCTGTTGAGGACAACCAGAACTAGTGCTCCAATCAGTAAGGTAAGAAGTAGGGTTCCTATTGCGGTTCCTGCTATTGCACCTGTCATGTTACAGTCGGCTTTGAGTGGTTGTGGGTTTGTGGGACCTGCGAATGAAATGAAATATATATTGACTGTATAACTACTGAGTTAGTACTGAGGCATTGTTATCCCTCTGTGTGACGTGACGTGTTTTACAAAAGTATCATCTACCTCGTCGATACAGCTTCTAAAGATCTACCTAAAGTGAAACCTAAAGATAATGCACAGACATATCTATGCGTAATTGAATATCGTTTACAGCATCCACATATATCGATATAAATATGTATATCTGTTGAAGAAAACTGTACCATTAAGCTTCTTAACTTTTGCGAAACAAGATAACCCGCGGTTAGAACCTAGCTGCACTTTAATTCATCAACAGCTTGCTCCAACACAGGTGATGGTACACCTGAAGACGTGAAAATAACCGGTCCTCACCATACCAAAGTACTGTCACTTTTTAGTGTCTGATTCGTGTCATGTGGAAAATTGTTCGAGAAAGGAGTGGTATATAACATAACGTAAATAGACATATTTTGGCCACAATGATATCTTAAATCGGATGCTATATATCCTTCAAATCTTAGTGTGGGGAATTGCTTTCTGTACTTATCAACCTCTCCAGATACACTAATTCTCACAGCTGACGTTGAATGTCCTGACATCAGTGTAGTTGTATCCTCCATACTGTCACGCCCCCAGACACTGACACTGTTGACCATGTTGACTCCTGCTGACAGTAAAGGAGAGAGTAGATGTCCTTGTCTGATCACTGTCACTGACCGATGCAGATCCAGTGCCAGGACAGGACCATGTGATCGTAGCTAGAGGATTTCCTCCTGTCACCGAGCAGCTGATTGTCTGTGGGTCTCCTTCAGACATCACATCCGGAAACTGTGTGATGGAAGGAAGGGCACGTGGTGGGTCTGTAATAGGATTAATCAAGATTGTATAAGTATAAATGAAGTATAAATGACAATGTATGAAGTATAGATGTAACAGCAGAGACTAGGAACCTTTTTTTCAGAATGGCCTCAATACAATTAGCTCGATATTTCCTCAATGGGAATACTCACATTTGACATCTAGTGACACAGAGCCAGTCTTAGTGGGGGAGGTTCTTGTGTTTCTGACGTGACATCTTACATTTGCCTTGCCTTTGTTTGGCCTGAAGTTGAGAGTTGTAGTCCCAGGTGAAGGTCAGGTTGGGGTAACCGGTGGCACCACAGGTCAATGTCAGGTTACTGTTCTCTAAAGTCACGTTGCTGTCTGGTTTTGTCATATCAACCTGCTCTGGTCCGACTGGAATGCAGCACAATTATGTATCATTACAGTGCTACTTGCTAAACCGTGTCTACTGATACACAACCTCTAGCGTACATCTGACAGATATGTGTCCGCATCAGCTTTACCTTTATTCTGTTACACTTTGTCACTTTGTCACAAACCACCAATTTGTTTCGTATAATTATTGCAATCGTTCAGTGTAGCTCTGAAGACTCTATCTTCTTTGTACAAATCACCTACTTTCACAAACGCTTCATCTCTGCTGTGTTACACTGTGACTGATCAATAGATAGAAGTCTGTTGACACCAAACATGTCTTATGGCTCTGGTAAACATGACATTGCATACCTGTCACACAACTCACATCCAACCTTCAGCGTGTCTACTCAGATAAAACCTCCAGTATAACTCTGTTGGACAAATTACACCAAACGTGTAGCCCTGTTAGACCCATGCTACTCCCTCCAAACCTCCAGCATTGGTCAACAAGACTAGTACTGTGTCTGCTTATGCCAATCCTCAAATCGGACTCTGTTAGACTGTGTCTACTTACACCAAACCTCCAGTGTGGCTCTGTTAGACTGTGTCTACTTACACCAAACCTCCAGTGTGGCTCTGTTAGACTGTGTCTACTGAAATCAAACATCTTACATGTCTCTGTTAGATTGTGTCTACTTACACCAAACCTCCAGTGTGGCCCTGTTAGACTGTGTCTACTTACACCAAACCTCCAGTGTGGCTCTGTTAGACTGTGTCTACTTACACCAAACCTCCAGTGTGGCTCTGTTAGACTGTGTCTACTTAAATCAAACATCTAACATGTCTCTGCTCCAGTGTGGCTCTGTCACCTACTTACACCAAACCTCCAGTTAGTGTGTCTACTTAAATCAAACATCTAACATGTCTCTGCTTAAATCAAACATCTAATCTGTCTACACTCTGCTCCAGACTGTCTCTACTTAAATCAAACATCTAACATATCTCTGCTAGAATGTGTCTACTTACACCAGACCTCCAGTGTGGCTCTGGTAGACTACGGGGATGTCTGACCGTTGATGTTTTCAGCCTGACAGCGAAAGCTCTTCCCCTGGTCACTCCTACTGACAGTGAATGTGACGGAGCTTGTTCTCTTCACCAGGACACCAGATGTCGTCTCTGTGCTGACTGTAGGTGACGTTCCTGATGGCAAGGTCACCCAGGTCACAGTGGAAATGGGAAAACTGGCTGAGGTCACGCAGGTCAAGGTCAAAGATTGATTTGCTTCACGTCCTATCTCCTCATTATCGGAACCGATGTTTGCCAGTGTCACAGAGCTGACCGGGACTGTAACAAATGAACTCATCGATGCTAACATCGGCATGACAAACAATTATACCGGATATCACTATTTTAGTACCATAAACCACAGAGCTGATGATATCGTGATATTTACAAAATGCTATAAAGAACCTCCGAGTTAGTGTTCGATGCTGATTTGAGATATTTTGAAAGTACGGTCTTGTGTACCTCTTCTGGAAACATATCGACATAGCACCCATTGGTTGTAACAAAATCGGATATATTACAAAAGGCCATTTAAAGAAAGTGAATATTCTGCTAGTATATTTACAAGAATATCAACTGATCTTCCCACATGAAAATAAAACAAATCTGACAGCAATAGTAGCTGCACCAATTTGACGCATTTCAATATGATAAATATTCCACCATGACATTTTAGAATCCTGCACCACTACACCAGACACTGTTTGCCGCGTCTTGTGTTTAGAGTGGTTGCTTAATCTCCATTAAAGACGGCAACACAAGGTATCTGTGCTGGACGATTGCGCTGTCTTAGAGTGGAGATGTAGAAAAGTATTGGTCTAAGGGTTAGAAAACATACAATCCCTCATAATTACGCAATTGTTTCTAAATTCGACTTTTCAGAACAACTTTGCTTTAACGAAACATTTCTCGTGTAAATTGGTTGATAGAGAACAATCTTTCGTGATGTCCGGTGCAAAAATTCGACACAAAATGCATGTGTATCGACTCTATACTACTCGCAGTTTGCCAAGGATAAAGTTTTAAAATATACAAAATATATCCAACAAAATGTGAATAGCTCGATATACACTGATGAGGACCATTAGTTTCAGGATGAACAGACACAGGCGTGAAGTCTCAAATTTTCTCTCAAATAGTTGGTAATGAGATGCCTGCTTGAAAAGTCCACTCAACCAAACAGAATATGTTTGATGGTGAAAACACTAACTAGGTCCATCTCCATCTGTTTTGCGCAGATAGCCATGAGTATACCGACTGTGGCCAATACGACATCGTCGTAGAAATACGCCATCACGTCTTGACGGACAACCCAAGTTGGTATAACCGATTGTTGGTTTCAGTTTGCGAAGTTCATTTCTTCCTACCTTGGTTCACGTGTACGAGGTGTTTGAAGCATAACATGCATTACAAACAGATACAGCTTCTTAAGTGGCATTTTTTATGATCTGTGTTCCATTCGTGGCGCATAAAACACCACATTTAATAATTGGGTGTCCGTCCAAGACTTTTGCTAAGACACTGTCTTTGTTTACTGCCGATGTGAAACTTATCTTTCTTTTTGCTGCAATAGAAACCATGAGTTAACAACAGGATGATTGGCTGTTGATGTGTACCTACCAAGGAACTGTATGGTGTTATAAGTGACAGACTTGGTATACGTCGGGGGATCAAAGGAGTCATGTTCCACACTGACGGTGAGAGACACCTGCCTGTTGTAGAGACTGACTGTGTTCCCTGGTAGAGACAGGTTGTTGGTTGTCTGGACCTGACCTGATGGACATGATCCCTGGGTGGAAGATGTACTGCTAGGAGGGACGCCACTCACACCCTGTAAACACAAAACAGTAGTTAGATAGATTGACTGTGTTCCCTGGTAGAGACAGGGTGCTGGTTGTCTGGACCTGACCTGATGGACATGATCCCTGGGTGGAAGATGTACTGCTGGGAGGGACGCCACTCACACCCTGTAAACACAAAACAGTAGTTAGATAGTCTGACTGTGTTCCCTGGTAGAGACAGAGTGTTGGTTGTCTGGACCTGGCCTGGTGGACATGATCCCTGAGTGGAAGATGTACTGCTGGGAGGGATGGACTTGTGGGAAGAGTCTTACCTGTTGGTATCCCCATGTGATGACGGCGGCAGTGGCAGCACACGGAGTGGTCACAGTGACGGAGATGGTGTTCTGCGGGGTCACGGAGGACGGGAGAGAAGTCAGTAGTGTTGAGAAGGTCACAGAGCTCCAGTCTAGGACAGCTGGTAAGGACAGATAATAATATCGCCTTGATGTTGATATTTACACGTCTTTCTGAGATACTTCGCTAAAAGATCAATGGCACCGACTATTATGGCAATAAAGTACGCCTTTCACATTACATCACAATGAATTGGCTTCCGTACGCCACTCTTGTCTGCCACATTGTAATCAAACGTACGTTTTGGCATAGCCTGTTGCAGTATCCTTCATTGCATTGCAAACAGCTTGTTTCATGTTTTAGTGGCTTGACTCACAAGTAAACTGGGACCTTAAAATGTTCTCTAATTTGTCCAACGCCCACTGTCCAACAATACATCCGTGCAAGATGACGTGACTATTTTTACTTAAATTTGGCAGTAAAAGTGCGTCGTTCATATTTTTCATATAAACCATATGATGTTATATAATGATAAATATATTTGAATTTATAAATAGAAGATATTAACCTAAACGTGAACCGTCTTGAAACTTTTAATCATTTTCTTTATTGGTAGCATGTACCCTAACGTATAGAGGAGACGAACTCCTGATACAAAACGTCAGTTAGCCCTAAACAAGGATTGTTAATTTAGATCATGATAACATCGTTATGACTTCTTTTGTACCTTAGATTAATCGCCGGTGTAGAAAATATCATCTCAGAAACCAAATACAGTTCGCTCTGCCATCGTGTAAAGAGTAATACAGTAAAGATTTGATGTCAACTATTAGTCCTCGTGGTTTAACTAGATCGTACAGCGCAATACGTTTCAGTCAGTGAAGGATTGGTATCGACACATAGTGTCTGTTTACATAACTAAACCTTTAAGCACCTTGCACGGCCACAATGGTATTATAAAAAACACAAAAATACCAAATGTGTCATAACAATGTTATAACCTTGTATGATATTTAGTTCTCTTGTTCCATTACCCATGACTACGTGAAGTGTGTGTATGTTTAACACACTTTTAACCAGTTATGTCCTATGTGTCAGCTGGATACAAGAGGAGAGACTAACATGACAGGGCGTCGACATGTATGTGGACCAATCAGAAACAACCAATTAAGTGGAAATATTGTCAGTTCAGTTTCGCTGTACGTTACGGAGAGACTTTTACCAACAGAGTATAAGAGATGTGTGGATTCCTTGACTTGAATAAACAATGGATAAGTTTGTCCTATGTATTTTAACAGCTCCGAAAAACAAGCAAAATACTCAGTCATAGTAATGATCTCGTTACAGTGAGGGCTAATAAATAAATAAAAATGTTTCCATTACATAGTTGAAAAATATATAATATATTAATATAAATATATGTGTTACCCAATTGTTGTACTTTCCAATAAAGTTTTAATCCTTTTCACACGAAATTTAGTGCAAATGAAAGCCACCCAACATGTTCACAATCATACCAAATGTCTTCTCAAACAACAGTGCTATTTTGACAACACAACCTGGTGGTGTGAGGTTTGACGTGGGGCCTGCCCTCGGATGTAGCAATGTACACACAGGTTCAGCCACAGTTAAAGGGTTTCCATTCATCATGATGTTATTGACACACATAAAACCAACCTGCAAACTGAGACAGTGTGATGCTATTTGACACTGCAGCGCCAACACTACATCTCCAAGTCCCGCTGTCTCTGGTGGAATCTGGAGAGGCGATGTCTAGAGACATGATCCTGGATGCACTGTCCAGACTCAGAGTGTATCCTGACACAGATGTCCTACAGCTGCCGGATGAGAAGCAGCCTCCCTGGACAGAAGTAGGACCTTTAATGAACCGTGCAGTGGAAGTGATAGCTGCATCTAGTGTACAGGTGATGGTGAAGCTGACACCCTCCACAGGAACACGTCTGTTGGTGGCAAGAACCGGAGCTGACTCTGAAACAGTATGGCGCGTAGGTTGTATGTTTTCCGTGTTGCTGGTAACCTTGTTATGTTATAACGCTGTTTCGAACAGAATGTCATCTGGGTGTGTCAGTTTGATATTGGGGACATCAATGCAGCTGTTATATATGTTTCTGGTAACATATGGAACAGCACAATGTCGCCCTTGCTCCTAATATGTTGTTATATGTACAGTTAGTTATTATTTCTTACTTTCAAAGTTGCATCAGAAACGATACTGTGTACATGTATATTACATTATTATTTTAATAACGGATGTTCTGTAAGTTTGATGTGATTTCACCAACAAGACCTAGTTTGGCAGAGAGCCTGTCGGCGTCTTATTCTCTTTTGGTTTTTAATAATCAAATATATTGTTTAAGCTTAATGTATTGTAATAGAAATGTTGATTTATTTTCACTTCATAGAAGATTAGTACTTGAGGATGAGTTGGATTTAATACTGCATTGAATATCTTCCCAATCACGTCATCGGTAATCGCCCTGCTTCAGATGAGGTACTGTGCAGATCTGTGAGTCCTTATCGGGGGAACTCTTTGAGCAGTGTACTAAGGGAGGTAACTGTAAACAATGAAAATCGCGTTTCTCTTCAAGACACCCTGTTCACACTTGTGTGTTGATACTTGCGTTCCAAACGCCATATGACAAGAACTATGACAAGAAATATGGTATCATCTGATATGTCACATGTGCTAGAGAGAAAACCATCTGTCAAAGTAGATAATTCCCAGCACAAGGTTTGTATGGAAGTTATGTGTCCTGTCAATGCCGTCAAGAGATGCACAGGTGCACACAGGTTAGTGAACGTTTGTTATACACAAACAACATTCAGTATAAGTGACAATGTGTACCTACTACAACGACGTATCTGGGCAGTATCTAGCAGAATAAGTAGTGGAATCAACTCCAGAAACACACGTGGACTCGTGTCACTGACTGAAGCTTGCAGCAGCCCACCGACATACACAGGTAGAGGCGATGTATGTAGAGCTGACAATACCAATTTACTTCCGGGTAGCTGACAGACAGGCTGTGTAGGTATGTGTACATATTCAATCTCTGATTCATTGTACATGTATCATATTTGGATATCTCCACATTTACTGTGTTGTACGGAGGCCTTGATCCACAATGAGGTGACAACGTAAATGTGTCAGCTTGTTGTCAGAAGTATCAGGTTCACGTCCAACAGACATTAAGTCTTCAGTATCAACGTTTCTTCAACGACTTAACCCTTGATATATGTTTTGTAAAAAAATAAAGTTTTATAATTGGTAGTTCAGATTATCAACTTAGATAGTTAGTGGCTGTACCCTCAAAGGGGGTTGAAGTAGCGTAAAATTATTGGCCTCCTGAGAGTGTACGTAAGTCCTAAAAACTTTCAAAGTAACATTTTCACGTACCAAGTTTGTAAACGTAGTATTTTTGTTATTCTAAATTATCCTACAATCGCCAGTGGCTGAAGGGATGGTCCTAATCCAGCTAGGCTCCATAGAGGTAGCAAAAGTAATGTAAGTCCCCATGGTTCCTAGTATGGTGATCTGCCTTCAGATGCTGGCGATCTATAGCTGTGTTTTATATTGTATTGTCTTCTTTGATTACACTGTTTTAGTTTTACATGCTAGTTTTATGTTTATATCTGTGATACTCTAGTATTTTTACTGTCCATCGTCGACAGGTTTAACTCTTCACAATGTTTTCATTTTTTTATTGTATAAATTGTTTTCGTCACGATATGGCTAAGATATTGCCGATGTGACGTTAAATATTAACTCACTCACTCACTCACTCACTCACTAAAAATGATATTAAACTAAATATATATTGTCGATGTTCATTGGTCTGAACAAACAGATATGTATCATTTCTTACAATTTCCTTCTGCATCACTAAAGAAATAAAATAAACTGGAAACACAATTTTAACGAGATGCTTGTTTTTCACCGACTGGTCAAAACAATCTTGAAAATTACTGTTTGTTAAATTTATTTTTTCCCCTGCCAGTGTGTTAAACGAACAATTCATTCAATTAATACCTGGTTACATACATAAGATTATATTTATACGTGGCCCGTTGTCTTTGATACGCGGCAATCAACACAAATAGTGTTTGCTTCCTCCTGTGATATAGATGCGGTGATGGACACACTCTGCACTGGGCCTCAGTTCAAGATGTTATTAACTGGCCACCAGTGTTTATCTGGTCGCCTTGTTGTTTGATGACATTTCATCCTGTAGATCACTTGTGATGCGTTGCAGCGTCATTCTAAATACCACCGTGTCAAACTATCACAACAATGAGAATATGGCAGCCAAATGACACCTTATCACCTTCCGCAGTTCCTGAATAGGTCTTGTAATAATCATCTGCACTTGTCACCTTAGTAACAAGGCAACTCTGACAATTCACCACAAAGTGTGCAATGAAGTCTTACACCACTCCACCCTGTGCATGAATACTCCCCAATTCTGTGGACATCGTGTACAGGGCATTTGTTAATAACATTTGTTACGTTATTCCCTCTCACAGGGGACTATCTGGTGTATGTTTGTTTTTGGTAGACGTGTTCAGAATGATTTCCTTACAATAAGAATGTAAATAATTCGGAAAGTTCACTGCACTCACGTTCAACGTTCTGTTCTGCTGCAAAGACCTATACAAAACACGAATAATGTGGATCCGTGTAACCAGCCTCGGCTTACAATACGCACATACAGACGACTGACTCTGTAGTGTTCTGAAGTACACCACGAGCAACAAAAGGGCTCACCATATCTGTTGACATGATATTCAAACGACTGATTATAACATAGTAATTTCAAACCTATCAGGTCTGTGTAGCAGTTTACGGAAGTGTTTTTGAAGTTGTAAACGGATATGTTGTATGGTGTTTACATATATCTGCAGATATATAAATTATACTTTTTATTGTGAAACAACGATTTTAAACACGTGTTTATATATTACTTACTGTAAGATACTACTGATAATATGTTTATGTAGAATTGTTAGCATAGCAGGTAATGTCCCAGTAGGGATGGATACGTGTGTATTTGGTGCAGTGGATATCGGAGTAAACTTTCTAGTTCAAAGAAACAGTGAATGATATAAAATGCATATTTTAGAAAATGTTGTCTAAATACCGACAAACGTGAGTGAGTGAGTTTAGTTTTACACCTCACACAACTCAGCAACACCCCAGCTATATGTGTCAACCATGACACCCGATCCCGTTAGTATTACGACAAGCATGGGTTACTTAAGATCAGTTCTAATCCGGGTCCTCACGGGTCGACAAAGTGAAGTTGGCACTAGTAATGCGATATATATTCAGCGTGAAAACAAACTTTATTTTCTATCAACACGATATTCATTGCGAGAAAAGTGTGATACAAACAGACGACATATCAACGTAGCTATTTATGTCCAGCATAAGTTCCTCAAATGTGGTTGAGTATGTACAACATAAAGCCGTGTGTATGTTTCCTTACAGTGAGAGCGGTTCCCGTCAGATGGCTGCGCGGTGTGATTGACTTGTTCCTATGCTATACTATGCTATGTTCCTTTGGGTGGGCTATGCCAGCTGTCTGACAGGATTTCCTACAAGATAGGCCATACACAATGGATGTTAGAACCTCACGAGCCTCGGTAAGGTAACTGTACTTACATTTAGATGTTTAACAAGCTGAAGCAAATGCGATATTGGGTCAATATGTCTTGCTGGATGATATTCCTCACATGAACTCATATGTTACAGATTTAACACACGTAATAAACATTATAAGGTATTCCCTCAACATGAACACAAGGTTGTGCAAGAAAGTTAGTGTCAACCAGTCAGATTCCAATGTCATGTGACATAAGATATTGCTATGTTTTGTGTTTTAATATTACAATCTATTCGATTAAAGTAAGTTAAGATCGCTCGCATTGGGATTGGATGTTGGTTCAATCCTTCATTGTTTCATCTCCTCCCATAAACTCATCTGTTATAGAGCAAAACACATTATAAGGTGTCCTTCACTTTGGACAAAAGGAAGTTTAAGCAGTCATATCCATCCAAGTGTCAGATGTCTTTTTCCACGCATTCCCAAAGTGAAGATCTGAAAAATATCAGTGAAATGTCTTACCTTATTATCGCACAAAATGTGCTAATTTTTTTTTAAAATAATGCATTCTACATTAGAAAACAGAAGCTTGGGCATATGTTTGAAAATAATCATTGCTTCTTGAGTACAGTTCATTATAGTAGCTTTCTTTATTCATGATTATTGATAACCAAAATATTGGTTACCTCAAGGTTGAGAGCCGCTGTTCTGGTATGGAGATTCGCTGATGGACTCGTATGGCGCAGGAGGCGTCTCTGTCATGTCTTCGTAGTTACTTGCCTCAGCTTTGGCCTCAACTGAAAATCATGACATTTCCTAAGAACATTTCATATATTGTATACCCTTCCAAACGTAAACACAACGATAGATATAATTCCTGAAATATGGCATACCCTCACTACACTTATGATTGAGTGCTATAGTAATGTAAGAAACTGTATCCATCTACCGTTTGTATTCTCATACACCTTCAGCTGTGTGTAATGTTGTCTTTCCGAACCCTCTGTATCCATGGTTGGGGACTGAGCTGGACTGTTGATGTGATCTGTAGTAACAAATAAACATGAACATATATTAACGGTATCAGTACATCTCCCTGTCAGTGGCCATCTCGATATGTCTGACTAGAAATGTTGAACCTACCAAGGGATGAATATCCTGCTGTGTTTTCCATTTCTTCAGTTTCAGGATTTCTGGTGCTACAAAGGCAAGTAAGGTCGATTACTGAACATACCATGGAAAGGAACGCGTTAAATAATTGATGTTTATATCTGACTATAAATGGCTTCGTACGTTATCTCAAAGCAGATAATTTCAAAATTTTTTATTTACATGCTTAGCCTACCTTTTTGGTGAATCAGTTCCTGAAAGGAGAGAATACCTATTTAGTACCCCGAAATACAAACATCACAAATGACGAATTTGGTATTTAGGAATTGTTGGAAAGGAAAAATGAGATATATGAAAGGATAACGATTTAATAAACAACACCCTGCATCTAAGCAATCATTGGTGAAAAATGGTTCCTGTCATTATTGATTGTGTATAGATTCAAGCTACAGGATGAGCTCAATGTGAAGTTGTTATACCACGAGTGTCACTCATCTTTATCTATAAAAGTGTGAATTGAAAGATCCCTTCTGTAATTATCTCCACAACACGATTCTACTTCAAATGCTACTGAAATTTACCTTTGAAAATGTTTCCAAACCTAAACCCGTTCCTGTAGAGAACCGTTAGAACTAATCCTTCAATCAGCAAAGTAACAAGTAGGGTTCCTATTGTGGCTCCTATTATTACACCTGTCATGTTACAGTCGGCTTTGAGCGGTTCCGGGTTTGAGGGACCTGCAGCATAAAATGATAAATACGTGAAGTATATCTTGTTTCGTAATGAAAGAGTTGACTTGCATTTTAAGCTGTTTTTTCTTTCCGTGCCACGTGCTTTATAAAGATTCCCTCTATATCTAAACTGCATCGTCCTAAGTGTTACACAAATAGTATCACACATACACGTATTCAAAAATACATCTGTCGATGGGAACTGCAATATTTACTTTACAGACAGATAGCTTGCTGTTAGAAAGGCTGATTACATTTAACTATGTCCTCGGCATAATATCAGGCAGGAGATCGTACACCTATATATTCCAAACCAACGATCTACCCTTCAATTATGGTGTGTAATACATGTCAGTTTTAGAAACTGTGCGACAAAGGATCGGTACACAAGAAATGTAAAACATATTTCCCTTTAAGATTCATGGTATTCCTGGCTTTTCATGGCATGACCGCGAACGTTAGGGATCCATCACATAGAAATCTTATCCTAGATACGTGTCGCTATTTGGAAAATTATAGACTTGTGCCTCAAGAAACAGTTAACGATACTGACAGCTGACGTTGAATGTCCTGACATCAGTGTAGTTGTATCCTCCATACTGCCACGCCCCCAGACACTGACACTGTTGACCATGTTGACTCCTGCTGACTGTAAAGGAGAGAGTAGATGTCCTTGTCTGACCACTGTCACTGACTGATGCTGATCCAGTGCCAGGACAGAACCACGTGATCGTAGCTAGAGGATTTCCTCCTGTCACCGAGCAGCTGATTGTCTGTTGGTCAACTTCAAACATGACATCCGGAAACTGTGTGATGGAAGGAGGGACAGGCGGGGGATCTGAAACATGAACAACCAAGTTAGCAACTATCAACCAATAAAAGTACAGATGTAACAGCAGAACCCATGACCCAACTGATCTCAATACAATTAGCTCGGTATTTCCACACCCAAAGAAATCCCTTCATCAGATAGAATGCACAATGTATCCAAGTGTGATAACTCCTCTGTATAACACTCCTAGGCAACCCTGTTTATATTTATTTACAAATTCCAGAAGGTCTTTCGATGCACATCAACAGAATAAGAATATACAAGAGATGGCACAGACACATAGCAAAAACTGAACATTGGCAAGTCATCATGTCGAGACTGTATACATTAAAGAGAATACTAAGAATACTTAGGAATACTCACATTTGACATCCAGTGACACAGAACCTGTCTTAGTTGTCAAAGTCCTTGTGTTTCTGACCTGACATCTCACGGTTGTCTTGTTTTTGTTTGGCCTGAAGGTGAGAGTCTGGTACCACCAGGTAGAAGATCCTGTCACAGACCCCGTGCTGCCATCTACAGGTGTTCAATCACTGTAGTCCCAGGTGAACGTCACGTTGGGATAGGCGGAGGCAGTACAGGTCAAGGTCAGGTTTCTGTTCTCTACAGCTACAGAGTTGTCTGGTTTTGTCACATCAACCTGTTCTGGACCGACTGTAATGCAGCACAATAATCTGTGGCGGCGGTGAAGGTCCTCTTACTGCATTAATATTGACAGTCTGTTATGTGTATACATGCACGTCAACATAGTTCAATATGTACCGAAATGTTTAGCCAAAATGTTTGATCTCCTTAGTTTATCATCGGCGTCATGTTGCTCAACTAGATGACCGCTGTCTGTTATATCTCTACAAGCACGTCAACATAAGGTAAATATCTATCGTAATAACACTCATGATGTTCTTAGTTTATCATCGGCGTCATGTTGCTCAACTAGATGACCGCTGTCTGTTATATCTCTACAAGCACGTCAACATAAGGTAAATATCTATCGTAATAACACTCATGATGTTCTTAGTTTATCATCGGCGTCATGTTGCTCAACTAGATGACCGCTGTCTGTTATATCTCTACAAGCACGTCAACATAAGGTAAATATCTATCGTAATAACTCTCATAATGTATAACCAAAATATATTTGATCTTCTTAATTTATCATCGGTGTCATGTTATTCAACTAGGTGTCTCTATTCACTCAGTGTGACAATTAGACAAGTATTGATTGGCTGACATGAAAACTGAACAACTACCTAATATACAACTCACACCATACTCCTATCCTGGCGCTGTCAGACTGCACTGGGGAGGGGTTGTGGATGTTGGTGGCGCGACAGTAGACTGTATGACCAAGGTCACCTCTGACAGGGGTGAAGGTCATTGTACTTGTGGTCTGGACAACGCCTGATTGGGGTATGTGATCAATGGATATCCCACTTGCCACCTGAACACTGTGCTTGTACCACGTGATTGTGGCAGCAGGGTAACTGGCAGAGGCCACACAGGTCAAGGCCAAGGGCTGACCTTCAGCAGCTCCCACTTCCTGATTGGCTGACGTGATGTTTGTTAGTGACACACTGTTGACAGCAACTGGATAGAAAGGGAATAAGGAAAGGGAATATCGTATATACAGGTCATACCCAACATGTCAATATCTCAGGGATAGAACAAGTATCTCAACAGCATGAATGACATTTTAGGATATATCAGTACATGTGCTTACTGTCAGGAAAGGAATAAGTAGAGTTGTGTCTAGACTGTGTGCTGGAAGCCTGGCAGTAGTACAGAGAGTTCCTCATGTTGCCTGTTAGCTGGTAATTGATGGTGGCTGTCCAGCCAGTGTATCCCTCTACTGCTGCTGGGCTGGTCACCACTCTGGTTCCGTCTCTGTACAGCGTCATGGACGGTGGTGGGTTGGAGACTGCGACGCAGGCGATAGATGTAGTAGTTCTAGTAAGGCTAACACTGTTCAGAGGAACTGAAATAATAACACCATTTTATGAAGTATGCTGTCATGGTGTAGATTAGTGGTAGGTGAAAGATATGAGCGATAGTTGAAATAATTTCCAGTGATGGTATGATTGGTCAGAAAAACAGAACTAAATAGCTTTATGAAGTATGGTGTTTCTGTGTAGGAGGGTGGTGGGCTGGAGACACAGGTGACAGATACAGGAGGTTCAGTGATGGTAACACTGGTCAGAGAAACAACGAAATAGCTATATAAGTAACAGTGTATATGTGTAGGACGGCAGTCCTTTGGAGACACAGGGGGTAGATGCAGTAGTTCTGGAGATGGTAACATTGGTCACAGGAAGTCAATAATAGCACAGCTACAGTATGATATGACCATGTGGGACGACGCTTTCTTGAAGTCAAGTGATCATTACACATAAACAAATACCAAAAAAGTAAACAATATATACAGGTTTGAGCAGTTGAGTGTTGAGGTTTGAAAACACAGGTGATGTGCTTCCACCTCACATCCACCCAACTTTAACCATATGTCAACATGACAAACATACCAAGAACATCCATCTGTATCTGGTTACTGGCTCTGCTTCCAAACTGATAGTCACACCTCCATCTGAATCTATCCCTGCCGTACACGACGTTGTTGATGGTGAGGGTGTAGTTGGTGGAGCTGTGGCAGGAGGTGGTGTAGTCAGCTGGGAGAGAGGGGGAGGTGGAGCTGCAGCTACCCTGGCTTACGCTGTATAATATAGTTCCATTCTGCCACTGTATAGTTGCATGTGAAGCGTCTCCTGTGTAACACATCAGAGTACAGTTCCCTCCTGCCTCCACAGAACCTCCACATGATGACGTCAGCTGATAGTTCTGGGCAGAAACTGAAAGTTCACAGAACGATGTTCAGCTGCATGGACATAATCTTCACGGAAGCAAACGACTTCAGAATAAGAATAACAACACATGACTATCAAAGACAAAATCTTCTCTCTCCGGTAAACAACTTCTCTGACGTATTCAGCACTGCTGTTGTCACTGACGTCACCTCTGTTGTCATATTGTTTCACGATGCAGAGGAACATGTGTCCCAGTCATCCACAACACCGCAATTTTCTTTGCGGAGTTGCGTCCCTTTAGGCGTGCTGGAAACATATTCCTGGGGCATCCAATACCTGTTTACCACATTATGTGTTTTGGTGTGTCTGCACCACACCTGTGTCCATGGGTTTCACCAAGGTAAATGACCAAGATATACATACATTCTGTCATTCCACCCTCACCGACCTGTCACCTCACACCGGGACTCACTTACTGTTTAAACCAGATTTAAACTAACTTCATTAGGAAGCAAGTATATTACTTATTCGGAAGTTGACATAACTAAATCTTTCTTCGGTTTGTTTGAAGGTGTTACATTATTTTCTTATTTCTTCGATTTTGCTTTATGTTCTTAGCTATTACACTCTCTGTGTAGGCCACTCTGTTATCAACGGTACAGGGAACTATTACACACTCTGTGTAGGCCACTCTGTCTGATATCAACGGCACATGTAAACTACTACGCTCTCTGTTTAGGCCACTCTGTCTGTTATCAACGGCACAGGTAACTATTACACTCTCTGTTTAGGCTACCCTGTCTGTTATCAACGGCACAGGTACCTATTACACTCTCTGCTTAGGCCGCTCTGTTATCAACGGTACAGGGAACTATTACACTCTCTGTGTAGGCCACTCTGTCTGATATCAACGGCACATGTAAACTACTACGCTCTCTGTTTAGGCCACTCTGTGTGTTATCAACGGCACAGGTACCTATTACAACCTCTGTGTAGGCCGCTCTGTCTGTTATCAACGGTACAGGTAACTATTACACTCTCTGTGTAGGCCACTCTGTCTGCTGTCAACGGTACCGGTAACTATTAAACTCTCTGTGTAGGCCACTATGTCTGCTATCAACAGCACAGGTAACTATTACCCGGAAGTTGTCATAACTTAATCTTTCCTCGGTTTGTTTGAAGGTGTTACATTATTTTCCTTATTTCTTCGATTTTGCTTTATGTTCCTAGCTATTACACTCTCTGTGTAGGCCACTCTGTCTGTTATCAACGGTACAGGGAACTATTACGCTCTCTGTGTAGGCCGCTCTGTCTGCTATCAACGGCACAGGTAAACTACTACACTCTCTGTTTAGGCCACTCTGTCTGTTATCAACGACACAGGTAACTATTACTCTCTCTGTGTAGGCCGCTCTGTCTGCTATCAACGGCACAGGTAAACTACTACACTCTCTGCTTAGGCCACTCTGTCTGTTATCAACGGTACAGTTAACTATTACACTCTCTGTGTAGGCCACTCTGTCTGCTATCAACGGCACAGGTAACTATTACTCTCTCTGTGTAGGCCACTCTGTCTGTTATCAACGGTACAGGTAACTATTACTCTCTCTGTGTACGCCACTCTGTCTGATGTCAACGGCACAGGTAACTATTACACTCTCTGCGTAGGCCACTCTGTGTGCTATCAACGGCACAGGTAACTATTACACTCTCTATGTAGGCCACTCTGTCTGCTATCAACGGCACAGGTAACTATTACACTCTCTCTTTAGGCCGCTCTGTCTGTTATCAACGGTACAGCCAACTATTACACTCTCTGTGTAGGCCACTCTGTCTGTTATCAACGGTACAGGTAACTATTACTCTCTCTGTGTTGGCCACTCTGTCTGTTATCAACGGCACAGGTAACTATTACACTCTCTGTGTAGGCCACTCTGTCTGCTATCAACGGCACAGGTAACTATTACACTCTCTGTGTAGGCCACTCTGTCTGCTATCAACGGTACAGCCAACTATTACTCTCTCTGTGTAGGCCGCTCTGTCTGTTATCAACGGTACAGGTAACTATTACTCTCTCCAAGAATTTGCTTAAGTTTATGCTTAAGTTTCCTTAAAAATTCTTACCTGAGAATTTATCTTAAGTAGCAATCCACCAAGCCACTGAGCATAAATCTTACCTGAGATATTTTAAAATGCTTAGAATTTTCTAAGTGAGAAACGCATGGGATTATGGGATACAAATTTATGCTAAGAGTTTTCTTAGATGACGTATTCGAAATACCCGTATCTATTAATAGCATAGTTGAACTCTCCTCGCGTGGAGATATAAAAACAGTTACGCAGACGACAACAACACATCAGAATGGAGAAGAAAAGTACCAGAAAATCCAACTGGACGGCCGAACAGACGTTGTTCTTAACTCGCCTTGTTGAGGAAAACAAGGCTGTATTACTCGGCAAGTTTGGACCGGGCGTTACATCTGCTCGAAAGAAGGAAATTTGGACGAATATAACCAAGCAGATCAATGCCACCTTCACAGGGAAGTGACGGTCGTAAATTTTGAGTGCACTTTAAAATGTTATCACCTTGTATGTGTAACTGTGAAGTATTTGCCTCCTACAATAATTAATGTATATTTTGTTGATTTGTAAAGAAGTTAAACGTTCCTTATTCCCCTCTCCACCATGCTGTGTGTCCTCTTATGAGCTCTGTCAGTCAAAAAATCAAATGTTATGAAAAACATCTTCAGTAGCATATTTTGCAATTTGTAACTGGCATGTAAATACATAACATGATACAGATGTAGATAAATAATCTATTCAGCCCTAAAGTATTCTTTTATGTTTACTGTCATTTCATTATGTATTTGTCAGAAAGCTTTTGATGTATTCTAGGATTGTAGATTGTTCCAGGAAAGAACACATCACTTTTTTAATGCAACCCAGTTTCACTTATAGTCATATTTGACAGGGGCATAACTCTAATTGACTAATCGAGAAAAGTCATGTCGTTTGCAAGATTCGATATGCCTGTTGTATGCTGTCTGAGAGACGGGATTAGGCTGAATATAAGGAGTGAGGAGCCAGTCTCTACATGGATATCCACTGTCTCCAAGCAAGAGGCAGCCGGCAGGCATCATGTGGCGAGAGAACAAAGTGCAAACGCCGCTCTCGGTCAGTATGCGCGAGTCATGAGCGGACCCGGGCCATTTCGCAACTACATCAATGATATGTGAACTGTGGTCAAAGACAACCTGAGTATTGATGCTGTGGTACTGCTTTCTGTACACATAAGCAGGTTCGTGCTCGGATGGTGCTATAATCTGAATGTGCATCTATAACCCCAACCACTTCGGGAAAGTTAGCGATGCTATAGAAACCAAGTTGGTTTCGTCGGATTTCAGTCGGACTGGTAGGAAACGAAACGAACTGTCGAACAATGGCAGGGGCAGACAATGCAGTTATTGTTTGGTTAATGGCCCTACTCACTGAAGACTGTGAAACACCAATGAGGTCCGCATTACACAGCTGTACTTTGCCCGTGAAGCAAAGTAACGCAGCGTCAGTAGAACTTTGATAAAGGATGACTTCTTTGAGTGAGAGGCGAAATTTCATTGGAAATGAGACTTACTACAAATTGTATACCATCTTTTGATAATCTAAATCTTCGTTTCAACTCTGTTTCTGTGTATGTTTCTAAAATGTTGGTTCTATCGATGAATGCATAGGCGGCCATCTTTGTTTACTTTAAGAAAATTCTAAGTGCGTAAGTAACCTGTGGAGGACTCTTAAGTTCAGAACAACTCTTAAGCACTAAGAGGTTTGATGAATATTGCTTAAGCAAAAATCTTAGTTTTAGATAGGTTGCTATGGAAACTAAGAATTCTTACCAGACTTAAGAATTCTTAAGGCTCAAGAATATTCGGCGAAATTTAGTGAATCCGGCCCCAGTTATAAAGCTGCAGACCTGTACTACCCGTTGACATGTACTGATGTACATAAAATCTACTTCCTGGTTCTATTGTAGGCGACTGTGTGTGTGGGACCTGAGGCGTGAGACTCGTTGCGTTGCCCCTAATGCAGTGACAACTAAAACATGTTATAGACATACAAGTAAGATACGTGTACATACCACGTTGTTTGTGAGGAACGTCCACCAGTCGAGTCCCAACTGTGAAGATAAGACGGAGGTACAGCATGGACATGTTGGTGGTGTGTGAAACTAGTGACACAAGTAATAGATACTAGCACTGGTGAACAGTGTATGTAATTATACTTCCGGTGTTGATATGCTAGCTGGATATGTATGGCTTGATGTGTGTCATTCAGACGGGTATTCAGAGAAGTAGGTCATGTGTCAAGACATTTAGCGATTATGATAGGCGACAGTGTACCTTTGTTGCTTGTATAATGTGTCTGTGTAGACGTAGCATAACACCTGGATATTCACTACAGGTTACATGTCACTCAAATCAAATAGGTCGTGCGTCACATATAGTGTTGGGCGACCGGGTATATGTGTACGTACTATTTGTCTGAGTGTCTGTATATGTGTTTTAATATGTGGCTGTGTAGACTCTATATACCCATTGATGTAATTACCAAGAGTCGGTATATATTCATACAGAATACCTGCAGATTTAATGTGTGACTTGAACTAGTTTCAAAGACTAGTCTCTAAACAAACTTGTAGAACTCTTCAATATGTCAGTCTCCAATATTGAAGCAGTAGAGAGGGACTTCCCGAGTTCCACAACATATCACAACATGATAATGAATAAATGAAACACATACATATGCATTTGCGTATAGCAAACAACAAAAGTGTCAAATCCATGGAGTTCAGTCTTTTATCATTACATATGTGAAATCCTTGGTTTCTTTTCTATTAACATACCCTGGGACAATATAATACACAAAACATGTACAATTTTTTTAAAAGAAACGACATAATAATGATGTGAATATTCGAGACCAATTGCATGGTTTTGTTTTGATAACAATTTACAAACACTGTTGGGTGTTTGAGGTTACACTACATGTGGACAAACCTAACACATGCTAACAAATGACACACAATGAACCACCACTTAGTATCCTGCAGTCGGACGACTTAGCTCCAACCATCTCTGGCCACACGACAGACTTTGGCCATGAAGACTGCATTTGGTCGTTCGGTGTAACCTGCAGTCGGCAGAGAACATTATCGTTTATTTAAACACGAGAGTGATAGAGTGAGTTTAGTTTCACGCCACACTCAGCAATATTCCAGCTATATGGCGGCGGTCTGTAAATAATCGAGTCTGGACCAGACAATCCAGTGATCAACAGTATGAGCATGGATCCGCGCAATTGGGAATCGATGACATGTGTCAACCAAGTCAGCGAGCCTGACCACCCGATCCCGTTACTCGCCTCTCACGACAAGCATAGTCGCCTTTTTTGTGGCAAGCATGGGTTGCTGAAGACCTATTCTACCCCGGATCTTCACGGGTCTATTTAAACACGATGAAACCAAAAAGAATATTGCTTGGTGTCAGTTTTGACAGGTCTCATCAATATGTCTGCAATACACTCCCGATATACGGTATATATTCAATATCCATAATGGCAAAAACATAATATAACCTCATAATATAATCCCTATTCACCTATACTTGATGTACACTTAGCATATATGATATACATTCAATACTTATATTAGTGGTGATAACAGCTTCGTACACAATACATGTTTGGCTATATCGAGGTAAACGATTCATATCCAGTATTCACACTGGTAGAGATAAAAACAGCCCTGTCTTCGTTCACAGATATGTAAGTGCCATGACGTGGCTGCAGCATGTCGTCAGTACTTCGATAAATCTGGATTATGTCACAAACAACTTCGGGTAATTCACTTCAGCCAATGTGCTGCCAGTCTGCAATATTCTGGTGGACGGTCGTAAGACCATTTCACACCACAGTAAGTAACCTGGAAGTGACTGCAGGTAACACAAAGATCACTGTAACCTCATCCTTCTTTCATTTTACACAATGACATCTACGGAATCCTGTTTTGGACACAATCAAAGTCAGTTATATAATCATCTGGTGTGTACACTCACCCTGACCTCCTCACTTTTTCCTGGTAGGTGTTTACAAAGTTACTTGGTATTTGCGTTGTGTCCTGATAACTGCCAGTAGCTTTTTTGTATAAGAAAAATATACACCAAGTTGTTATGCATGATCAACTTCCGGTTGTGTTGTTTACGCGGGTCGTTCCACAGGCTGAGTTTTCCTGGTTGTTGTTTGGTATTATACACCCTACAGTAAACGCTGATTCCGATTGAAGGAACGCCTATTGGGATACTGAAGGCTTAAAGAGTGAAATATTTAATGTTCTTGGGTTGTTATTTACCTTTTGGCGGTAACTAATTTACTACTTCAACGTATTGACTTTTCCTCGATTCCCCTAGGCGTCTAGGATGACGTCAGTGTTGTGCTAAATATAGTGTCGAAGATTCTCCAAAAACTAAAGACACAGTTTGCATAACAGTTTGTTGTACCAGTCGGAGCCCCGTCCAACTCTGAAGAAATAAAATGGTTACACCGATGTCCGTCCGTGAAATCAAGTTTTGCTTTGTGGCTGTTGTGAACCTGTTGGAAATCATACACGCTGTCTGTTCAAATCAATTCAGCTGAAGGCACTTGCATATATTATACTACTGAAATTTTGTTGAGATTCACAGATTCAGTCATTCAAATCAACGATGAAATCGTTCGTTTTCGTTCGAGTCACTACACACCCAGATGTTAATTCTGTAGTGCACAGGTATCCTCGTGCCTACTGCAGGACTGGGGATCGGTTCTTCCTGCCCCACTGACACCTCACTAAATCATGACTGATCCCCCTATGTTGCTACCATAATATTATGCCATACTTTTCAGACTGTTCTGTCTCTGTTTATGTACATCTGTCAACGTAATCACCAATTGGATTTGTGTGTTCATTGTGAAAATATATTGCTTATTTGCTTTGCGAAATATTCACTATTAAATACATAATCGACAAAGATGACATAAGCGTAACCAACATGATTTGAATTTCTAACAGTAAACGTGCATGTGGAACTTTATCGTGTGAAGTAATGTGAATATGAAGCAATAACAGGGACGTCCTGTCACAAAGCAAAGTGATGCTATGTCCTGAACGTCGTGTTTCTGTGTCCACAGCTGAAACTCATGACATGATGTTGACTTTGTTCGTATTTCATTCGTCAAGACCTGAAATGTACAGAAGTCAAGGTAATTAAACATACAAATATCACATCAACTGAACATATCACATAAAGTAAACGTATGAAACTCGAACAGAAGGGGAAGCATATGCTTTGGGTTACTACTGTTGAAACACTTAAGAACACAGTTGATCGATGACGATGTAACGCGATTAGAATCACCAGGAGTGTTTCATGGTTTGGTTACCTTGAGGATGTGCCCCAGTGTTCTGATATGGCGATGCCCTGATGGACTCATAGGTCACAGGAGCAGTCTCTGTCACGCCCTCATAGGTACTTGTATCTGCTGCAGCATCCACTGAAGATAAGATTAATTAAATAATATATGTCCAAATACAAATTACACCTCAATTCTTTGAACTGGTTCTTCAACAAGCTGACAATACATCCATGTGAAACATGAGATTAAACAATATGAACCAAGCTGCCCCTACCTTTTGTGTTCTCATATATCTTCAACTGTGTGTACTGTTGTTTTTCAGATCCCTCCTCCACATTTGAATACTGCGCTGGAGCCGCGATCTGATCTGAAACATATTGTAATGATTTAGTGCTAACAGATCGAGAGATGGTTGTAATATCAACTAGAGGGAAACACCCAGCAGCCAGTACATACCTAGAGATGAATATCCTCTGTTGTCCATTTCCACAGGTTCAAGATGGCTGGAGCTACAAAACAACATCAGGTCAGGTTTTTAAAACAATCGGGTGATAAACCTCATAATGTAAAAGTAATATGCTTTAGTTAACCTATTGTAAGTTACTTACTTATTTCGTAGTTTTACATGCAGTGTTTCAGTTAACTGTATTGATATATGGATTACCTTTTTCGTGCAGCTCCTGGAAAACAGGAATAGTAAATATGTCATGGTGGTTGAAACACACTTCACAAATATCAACATGTCGTATCATAAACGAAATGGAGAGACACAAATACCTTTTCTGTAAGTTACTGTGGATGGAAACTATAAAAATACATGCGTTGTACTTATACTATGTACCTTTTAGAATGTTTGCAACTCTGTATCCCTTTCGGTACAGCACCATTAGAACCATCCCTCCAATGAGCAGGGTAAGAAGAAAGGTTCCTATTGTAGCTCCTGCTATTACCCCTGTACCGATGCATGACGCTTCGAGCTTTTCCTGGTCTGGTGGATCTATTATGTAATCAAAACAGCATAAAATATGACTGTCATTTGTGTGCATTTGGGGTTCAATTGAGCCCTGTGCAATATTGTAGTGACAAGCACAAGCCTCGCACAAATCATTAGTGTGTGTGCCAAGCTCACACAACGTTTACTTGGCGTTTCCGGATGTACATTGGTAACGTCATGATACAACGCTGTCGCCACATTAATATGACGTCATTATAAAAAGTTATTTCACACCGTTACAGCAACATTACATACATACGTTGTCAAAACGTCGTGTATCGACTGTTACACAATGTTATGATTCATCGTTTCTTAAACGGTGGTGCGACGTAAACTGTCTCTTTCCCGAAAATTGCAAGAACAAGAGCGTACATCGAATTATTTGTAATTCGGCAGAAAACAAGACGGTAGTGCATTATTTCCATCCAATTAATATACTAAAGACACAGAGACGTAATTTCCATTATTTCTGACATCGTTATTATCACATCACTGTGCAACCTTGTGTCACAACGTAATATCACTGTTGCAAGTTTACGTTGAGGAAACGTTATGCATTGGGCTCCTCACAAGTATGATAATAATGCTTTATCTACAACTTGGTGTCACGAAAGAGTTTTCTGTAAAACCCTTAGGATAAAATTAACTTTGAGATTCGGTCTTCACTATTTATCTGTAGATGCTACCCTTGCAAGCGGTGGGTTGTAATATACATGACACATGATAAATTCCAAAGACGGGTACAACGTATATAGCTCATTTTTAGCTTAGACGCTTCTCGCAATATCTTAGTGACATAGACGTCGGTCTGTAGACATTCCATCAGACCATGCAGTGACTTGATAACATGCATCAATAGAGTCTGACAACCAGAACCAGTTAGTCACCGTTTACAACAAGCAGGGGTCAATGAGGAACCAGTTCTTACCCAGTTCCCCAAGCAGTTCAGTCCCATTGTTATTCACGCCCATCCTCATCACAACAAACCCCGACATAAATGTTTACTGTAATTCCAAAGAATTGCGAAACCATTTGTCTAAATCAACGTTGATTGTGCATATTCATATTTACGCCCTAATATCTGATGATGAATTGATATCTTAGTCTTAGTCTACTTAGGCTACATAATTATATTTATTCAGATATATGGTCATTTACATTCCCTTTGTGAAACACGAAGTGCATTAGCGTACAAGGACTCAGAAATTACTCTTTTTCTGTTCTCTGAATATATACCCAAATAAGAAATTATACATGAAAGATACCCATATATTTCCTTCAGTTGCAGCAAACACGTTTTCCATAAGATACATAGTGTTACCAGTGAGTGATGGTCATGAAGACACACTTACCACCAGCAGTCACCGCTTCTACCAATACATAACTATCAGAATCCCCGTAGTCATTTCTAGCTTGTAGTCGGAATATGTAAATCTCTCCTGGTGTAAGCCCGGTCACTTCAACAACCATCATCTCGCCAGGATCATCATAGGATTTGTACACAGTCCACGTTCTTGTCGCAAACTGAAGATACTCAATTAGAAACGTCTGAGGGCGTCCACCATTGAACCCAGGCAGCCACGAGAACCATATTGACGACGCTGTTGCATTATCCAGATCTCGAAACTGTGTAGGTGTCTGAGGTGGCCCTTACAAGAAATAAACAAATAAAAACGTCATTATTGTAATGTAATTCCATTGGTTGAAAAGTTCAAATAAAAAATGAGGACAATTGTTATGGATATACAACTCATTATTGCTTGACAACGGCATTAGAATCTATGTCGATCGAAACGTCACCTATACAGAATAAACAAGAAGACAAAGTCATCAATATCCCCCGCAATGGCAAAATACTCTTCATGATTATATCTACAAGTTATGATTATGTCAAATATTTAGGTGTGTATATAGAAAAGTGGAAGGAGAGTATTGAAAGGTTTTGTAAAGTCCTGCTCCAGAAAGGACCACTATCACCAATTTCAGTCTATGTCAAACTTGTTGCTATGGAAATGCCAAACATATTTCATTCAGAATTCCAAAACTACCAAAAGGCACCGGTACACCACCAGAGCTATCTATGTGCCAAGTTTGGTGAAGAAATAGTCAACGGTTTTAGAGTTCTGCTCCGGAAAAGTACACCACCACTAATTTCTGTTTAAGTAAAACTTTTTGCCATTGAAATGCCAAAATATTTTATTCAGAATTCCAAAACTACCAAAAGGGACCAGTACACCACCAGATCTATCTATGTGCCAAGTTTGGTGAAGAAATAGTGAACGGTTTTAGAGTTCAGCTCCGGAAAGACAAATGTGCACGGACGGACGGAAAACAGTTGAATCTTTTAAGCTTCAATAGCAAATCTGAAAGCACAACACACCTACAGGCACTACACTGACTGTGTATGTGACTGGACTGCCCACGCCATTGCCCACTGACAGATTGTAGTCCCCGAAGTCCTGCTGTTGGAGGTCAGTAAGATGTAGTCTGGCAGTGACTGAGATGTCTGAGACAGGGCTGGAGGAACCATTGACGTCCTGGCTGGTGCTGTTCGATCTACTCCAGGTAAATGTAGGAAGGGGGTAGGCCAGGACTGACACAGATAGAGTCACGTCACCACCAAGTCTAGCAGGGAACTTGAGTTGCTTGGAAATCGAGTCGTCAAGTCGAGGTGGACCTGGTTAAATTCTGATATATAACTGATATTGGCTCAGGTACAACTACTAGCCCGGTCACACAGGAGGGGTAAGATGAAGATCAAAGTAGCAAATTTATGTACGTACTCGAAAACAATTACAGAGGAATTATTCTGCAGGATTGTTTATGCTTCTTAAATTCATTTTGTGAGTTTGTCAGACATTTGACGATACAGACAAACACATATCTAAAACCAGAAGTGAGTATAATCATAACACTACCATGCGAGCATTGTATCCAAAGGTGTTACTTGTGCCTGCCCATAACGAGTGTGAAATAATTATGGTATAATGACAATCACATGTACCTGTACACATGTAACCACCATTTGCTGAAGTGCAAAGTACTCACACCTGACCAGCAATTCCACCTTCTGGGTGACAGCTGCCCCGATGTTGTTGGTGGCAGTACACGAGTAGTTCCCTCTTTGTCTACAGTCTGCTGACTCCAGTCTATATATTGCTGTCACGGAGTTATCTGCCCTTGTCAACTCCTCAGTTCCATTCAGTAACCTGATGGCTGACTTTGGATTACTATCAATCTGGCATCTCAAGATCACTTCATCAGACTCGTTAACTGTCACTGAGCCACTGTGAGAGTTGACGGTAAAAGTGCTTATGTTGGCTGGATCTGAAAAGAAGAACCACTGTATCATTGATATTGTATCATCTGAAACTAAATGGCTGAACACTGAATTCAATGTGAGGTTTTCCAAAAGAGAAAAAACAGTAAACATACTTATGTCGGCTGGGTCTGAAAATGGGGAACAACTGCATCATTGACATGGTATTGGTTAAAACAAAATGGCTAAACATTTCAATCTGAAATAAGTATGGTATACGGAACATTGACTGTAACACTGTCACCAGTGTAGACTATACACTGACACTGAACATCAACACTGACTGTAACACTGTCAACAGTGTAGACTATATACTTACACTGAACATCAACACTGACTGTAACACTGTCACAAGTGTAGACTATATACTTACACTGAACATCAACACTGACTGTAACACTGTCACCGGTGTAGACTATATACTTAAACTGAACATCAACACTGACTGTAACACTGTCTCCAGTGTAGACTATATACTTACACTGAGCATCAACACTGACTGTGAGGTGAGGTGAAATTGGGTTTAACGTCTTGCTTGAGAATATTTCGCTCATATGACGACGTGCATGCGTGTGTATGTGTATGTGCGGCTGCTTCTACTAGCCCAGACTTAAGCTGGTTTTATAGTGCTAGCTCACTGAGATACCATGCCGCAGTGAAGCATGAATACCCCACTCAGACACAGTATACTGACTCCGTCAACACTGCCTGTAACACTGTCACCAGTGTAGACTATATACTTACACTGAACATCAACACTGACTGTATCACTGTCACCAGTGTAGACTATATGCTTACACTGAACCTCAACACTGCCTGTAACACTGTCACCAGTGTAGACTATATACTTACACTAAACATCAACACTGACTGTAACACTGTCACCAGTGTAGACTATATACTTACACTGAACATCAACACTGCCTGTAACACTGTCACCAGTGTAGACTATATACTTACACTGAACATCAACACTGACTGTATCACTGTCACCAGTGTAGACTATATGCTTACACTGAACCTCAACACTGCCTGTAACACTGTCACCAGTGTAGACTATATACTTACACTAAACATCAACACTGACTGTAACACTGTCACCAGTGTAGACTATATACTTACACTGAACATCAACACTGACTGTAACACTGTCACTTCTCCCGTGTGTGTTGTAAGGCTGACATCTGTAGGAGCCTGTCTTGGATCTGTCAGCTTGTCCCTGGAGCACCGCTCCACTGCTGAAGACGGTTCCATTGTGTAACCACCTGTAGCTACATCCGGGTCTACAGAGGGCGGAGCATAAGATTGATGGAAGAGCCTGGTGTTCTGTCACAGTGTAGGAGGAGGTGGAGGGAGTCAAGGAGATCTGGTAGGGACCGTCTGGAGTAGAGGGTAATGTGGCACTGATACTGTGTGTACGATTTATCTCTATGTTTGCATGAACATGCACTTCCACACATTTAGAAAACACTTCTTATAATTACATGTATTAAAAAATGACAGTGAAAAGACTGACTGAGTGACTGAGTTTGGTTTTCCGCCGCTTTTAGCAATATTCCAGCAACATCGCGGCGGGGGACACCAGAAATTGGCTTCACACATTGTGCCCATGTGGGGATTCGAACCCGGGTGTTCGGCGTGACGAGCCGACGCTTTAACCATTAGGCTACCCCATCGCCCCGACATTGAAAAGAACCTTGAAAACTATACCACAATGAACCAACACAAAATAAAAGCATCAAATGCCTCAGTGATCGGTCACACTCCCACGGTACGTAGTTGCTACCGAGATATGATATACACACTACATATACAATTTTTTTGTGAGTACAGCTTTTAATGTCTAATTAAAACAACAACCTTTAATTGACATTCTCAAAAGTTAGCAGAGTTCATCTTGTCAACTCCATGACACCGAGTGTTCATTGTTTGAGGCCAGTCAAATAAACATCGTCGGGAGGGGGATGGCCTAAAAGTCGGGCCGGGCCGGGCCGGGCCAAGGCGGGTCAAATCTATTATTGGCTAATAAACCCATTAACGAACACCATGCCTACAATTAATCAATGCAACATACACTCATGATAATATTGATCAATCGGGAGCCACAAACGCGTACCATAACAACTTTATTTCGAGTAAATCGGCTAAAACCAAGGAAGACGAGAAGCCTGTGAACTGGCTGACCGAGGCTACGTCCAAAAGTGGAATCGTTAAACGAAACGCGATTTAAAACGTATAAATACTTCAGCCAATTCCGATACACATTTCCGTCGGCCCGAAAATGTTTTTACATCTATATCCAATCACATACCACCCCATAAACTCACTTAAAGCTGGTTTTATAGTGCTAGCTCACTGAGATACCATGCCGCAGTGAAGCATGAATACCCCACTCAGACACAGTATACTGACTCCGTCAACACTGCCTGTAACACTGTCACCAGTGTAGACTATATACTTACACTGAACAGTAGATATAATACCAATCTATGGATTTAAACACAATCCAAGATACATCTGTGAGATATAAGATGCATTTAAGAGCCCTGGCCAAGCCGGACCGAAAGCTTGTGACACTGTGTCTTTGTTGAGTATGTATAGGAAATAGGGCTTCACTTTGAGCAAGGTGTTTGCTTCAAATATATACGCTTTGAGACTCTGTAACGTGAAATGTAGGTAGATATAATACTAATCTATAGATTTAAACACATTTCAAGATACATGAGTGAGGTTTAAGTTGTTTTTTGACAGCACGGGCCAAGTCGAGCTGAACAGAGACCAAACACTTTTGATTGAGGCTATGTTGAAAAATGAGAGACAAGGGCTTCACTTTAACGGAGCAGTTATCTTTACATGTGGCATTTTGTAGCATCACACATTGATATTTAGGTAGATATAATACTAATCTATGGATTTAAACACAAATCAGAATACATGTGTGAGGTTTAAGTTGTTTTTTGACAGCGCGGGCCAAGTCGGGCTGAACAGAGACTAAACACTTTTGATTGCGGATTTTGTTTTCCGAGGATTTCATTTTCCTAAATCGTTGGGAATGGAGAGAGAAAGGGGCTTCACTTTTACTTTACTTTATGAAGTGGTATTTAGGTAGATATAATACCATTTTGTGTTTCATGTGTATTGGTAAATATAAGAATATGCATACGCGCTGGCTATCTGATTTGAGCTGGTATTGTTTACAATGAAAACAAAAATTTTGGTGTTTGTGAATGCATACTTTGTTTGATCCTTTATAACATATACAAAAAGTTTGTGATTTCAAATATTCCTTTTAATATACATAATCATGTCATATTTGCCCATTGACACTCGCCGATATCCACGTCTCTTTAACATAAACATCCTGTGCTGATTCAGCCTGAGACAACAAAGGTTAAATGCTGAACCCCACTATCTTAATTAAGGAAAGAAAAGCAGTCAAAACACTGTCACTTCCTGCCGAGGACACCAGGATGTCACACGCAACCTTCCCTCATAGACATATCAAGGAAAACACATAACAACAAGACAGTGTCTTTTCTACGGGAATCTCGGTATGTAGTCATTGTTGTTGTGTGGGTTTTTTCACCATTAACTATACATTTTCAATCAAACTATGCATTTGTGAAGGCAGGAAGTGTATCGACCCAAATGTGCAGGTTTCGTTTTAATATTCTGCAATCCATTTTTAGTATTACCCGGTGGCCCGACCCGACTTTTCTTGGCCCGACTTTTAGGCCATCCCGCCGGGAGGTGTTGTTACGGTTCGTGAACACGACTTACAGCGTCCGGACTGTGACGCAATTTACTGTTTATTTATACTGATTGGTGACAGCTACGTTCCGGAAACCGAATTTCCGGATTATCAGGGCAAATTAAATAGGCATAGATTGGCAACAAGCTGAAATCGTCGGTGAGGCGAGACATCCGGATTATCGGGGTCCAGACTAACGGGGCTTCACTGCAAAAATATTTCCTTTCGTGACTATAGGACACCAGACAATACAACTTATCTTCTGCAGTTCGGGTAAGCATCAGTTTGTTGAAATTAGGTTTTGCTGTTTCTGTCACAAACTCTTTCTTTGCAATGGGGGTACATTCCTCAGTTATCCCCCTTTACCACTTTACCAATAGATGACGCCAATCACTACGGTCCTAAGTGTACTTACAGTGCATTAATGGTGTTTTGCTGGTCGATTTTAAAAGTGCAGCAATTACGATGCCTGAGACGTGCTGCGCTGCGTGAGACGAATGTAGCGATAGAGAATATATTCCCGTTTCATCTTGCCCAAACACTCCTGTCGCTTAACACCTTGCACATTTTGAAACTCTGTCTCTGACAAAAGTAGCCCACAGTCCTCAGTAGTCCATGAAAAAACCTCATTATCGGTTTAAAAAGCATGATTTCAATAGAAAAATGGCATATATTCATGCATTGTGTATGTATAAATGTGAAGAAGTAGTTACTTTTTACGATTAGATAAGAGTGTTGGTAGTCGTCGTGCGTACTCACACTGAGGCTCCATGTTGTACACCTGGCTCCACTCTGACTCCAGACCCTGACTTTCTCTCGCTCTACATCTGTAGCTGTGACTGTCCCGGAAACTCACTGTGAAGGTGAAGGAGGAACCAGGGGAGGTAACTGTGATGTCAGTGTTGTCCCGCTGCCATGTATAGGTCAAGGTCAGACCATGGTCAGCAGGGACAGTGGTAGAGGTGGAGCTGCAGGTCAAGGTCACTTGCTGGTTGTAGACAGGTGTTGTTGACACTGGTGGACGACCAGGTGATGTGGGTTTGCCTTTCAAAATACAGTATATGTAAATTAGGTGCTTGTACATGTCGATTTATGCAAATTGGGTTAACACAAAACCATATAACCCAAAACGGAATGCGATTGATCATTACAAACACTACACATATCAGTTACATCATTGGTTCCTTGCACACATGCGACATTAACTTACATTACAACAGTTTGTAACTTGGAAATAAAAAATGTATACGGTTATTCTTCCATGATTAGGACAGGCCTTTGCATAAAGTTGCTCTAATTGTATTTATATTTAAAAGAGGTTTAAGCATATTCGATGCGGTACCCAAGGTATCTTATCGCAAATGTAAATTGTTCTACGAAAACAACCTTTTTGCTCTCGGACAACAAGTACATTGCAACCAGTGTAGACGTTCATGTTTATAGATATCCTAAAACTCTGATACGTGGGGATTGGTGCAATAGATTTGATCATCAATTAACTCGACAAACCTAATACACCCGGGCTTTTATTAAATTTCGAATAATCTTTGATTGGTGTAATAATGACACACGTAACATAGCTGAGACATACTATATTTTCATGGGAATATGTATGTTGAATACAAACATGGATGATCCATATTAATCCTATGTTAAACAACAACTAATAAAGTAACCACTCACCCAGGACAACAAGCTTCTGTCCACAGTTCTGTATCACACTAGCGGCCCCTCCAGCCCCACAAGTGTATGTCCCTGCATCTGATGTCTGGATGTTGCTGAGGGTGAAGGTGACATTCCTGGCTGCTCTGTTCCCCTGGTACACCAGTCTAGATGTGTAGTTGGGGGTGGGGCTGAATGTCCCAGTGCCTGTCACTATGAACACAACAACACCAGCAGGACTGAGAGCATAGAAAGTACTTCCTGTCCCCAGACCTCCCTGTGGAATCTCCCAGCTGAACCTGGCTGTGTCAGACACAGCAGACAACACTGGACTGGCACTGGCGGCACCTGATACAACACCTGTAGAGAGAAGTCACTTACGAGGTGGCAGAAACGAAGTAGAATGAGTAAACCGGCATTCAATGTGTATCAGGTAAACAAGGTCTCAAATGTGAACAAAGAACATAATTAAGTTTAACATAAACTCATAAGACAGATATGAAAGACGTACCTGCAGTCACACAAAAAATAGCAACCGAAACTACCTTGACCATGCCTGTTGTCTGGCACCTCGGTGAGATCTGGAGAAAATCGTCATCGTTTACCATAACTACTCTGTATAGTGGTTACTTGTATATATGTAGCAGGCAACATTTACTGTCAATTTTTTATGTTCATATATACTTGTTAACACTGTATGAATGTATAGAAAGCACGTGCGTGCGTTCATGCATGCATATAAGAGTATATAATGTCACATATATAAACAAATTGAGACAATAATGACACAACCCGAATTGTTAATACTCAAGCCGTTATGCAGCGTAAACATAATGCAGAAACTCTCATATAATGTTGTGCGTTGATCCATATTAGGCGACGAAATGTATATGACTTATATTAATGTTAATTGTCAATCAAATGACATTGTTTTTAAAGCCAATTTTTTACTGACGGGAAGTCTAAAGATGTCCTGCGTTCATATAACTAGTTTATAATGTGCATATCTACATCAAAGCTCATACAAAACGGTATATGGACCAAGGGACGCAACTCTACTTAGCGGCTGGCTCACACACGAACCGTAAACAGACTTTGTTGTACACAAACTGTACTAAAACTGTACGTAACTCGTTAAAATGTTGCATTTAATTAACGCTACATTAGCAATGCATTATGCTATTGACACGTATGTATAGCTACAGAGTTATGTAATTAAGGAGTTTCGATCCACCAGTGGTCTGTTATATTTTGCAGACAGGTTTCAAACAGACACGGTTGTATTTCAGCAGTGATATAAGGATATGGACCACTCAGACCAATAAGAAGTTACGGTTCACATTCTATACATTATACATACCAGCTGAGACTTCGGTGTGTCCAGGATGTTATCGTCCTGTCTGACTGGGGAACGTAACACGGAAGTAGAGTACCTGTGTACATGCACATCGCCCATGACAAACTAGTTCGGCTGTGTCTAAATATAGTTCAGTATACCTCTACCGTCTCAAACATATATACATCTGAGGCGGTCGTGAGATAATAACATATCGTAGTCAATTTATGTATAGATACGTGCCAATTTATGACTCTTATGATACTTTTTTCAAGACAGGCCAACCTGTTCAGAGAGAAAAGGAGCTTCCTATGTATCGTTGTAATCATAAAACAAGACGATTGTAATCGCATCTTTCTGTTTTATTTTGGAGATTGGATCTTACCTAAGTTACTCTTAGAGCTTTGTCAACCTTTATGTCAGTTTAAAGACTTAACCACCAGGAAACAGATCTATACACACCCCGTAATATCATTATAGGCGGATAATTGTAACATTGTTGGATACAGTAATCATTTTCATTTCTAGACACTATGATTCAGAAATAATATCAATTGGCAAAACATGTAGAACATCTTTGATGGGCATTTTAGAATCACATTACTTGCTTGGCAACGACAGTAGAATCGATGTCGAAACGTCGCTTTTGACAGAACAAAAACGTTGTATATCAATCATTCTGAATACACGTATACTAAATGGAAGTAAGATAAAGTACATAGTTTTATTTATTTGAGTCCTGTACAATACAAATAATACACTAACGAAAAATATAACTGTGCCTCACATAAAGTTCAGTAACAAATATTTATTCCGAAATTAAATGCTGTATAATTTTGTACACATTCATGAAATTACTTTCTCCGCTTTAAGGTCGTGAGTTGCAAGTAAAGATCCGGGTAAGATTTGGTCTTCAGCAACCCATGCTTGTGCGTAAACGAGATCGGAAGTCAGGTTCGCTGACTTGGTTGATATATGTCATTGTATCCCAGTTGCGTAGACCAATGCTCATGGCGGTGAACACTGGATTGCTTGGTTCACACTCGGTTATTTACAGAACGCCGCCATATAGCTGGATAATTGATGAGTGAGGCGTTAAACAGCAAACAAACAAAGCGTTACAATGCCATTGTCCATTGTATGTAAAGCAAACACGTTCACAGTGAAACCCTTTGTCATCTCAACATGAGTTTTGATCTAAAGAATAGAATTATATGTATCTCAGTACCGTTTAATAATGTTAGATTCCATCCGTCGGTCCGGACTGTCATAAACATCTTAAGGTTATTTAAGCTTTCATAAAAACCCTTATCCTAGGATCATTAAAGCAACAGAAGTACATGAAACATGCCACCAACAGCTGTGATCAATTGACAGGTGTAGCGTGATACTCAAGGGCACTTGGACTCCGGAGTTTACAGTGGTGTCTATAAGAATGGACATCTCACCCGAAAGAGAAAAGAACAAGGTCATATTTTACTGTATGGTTTCATTAACACCAAGTTCAAGAATGACTCAGTATCAAAGATACTATGCGTAGCTTATCTACCGTGAACATATTTATTGAGACCAATTCAACACTTAGAAGATTATCTTTGGATTCATCATGTCATGATACAAAATAATATCATGATACAGATTATATACGAAAAGATCTCGACAGACTCGCAACGTTTATATACAAACATTTACCAAATATATTGATCTAGTAATCTTTATCAGACCATGAATTTTAGATTTCCATATTCATATGATCCACTCATGAGCATGAACATATGAACTATATCATAAGCATGTGTTTATGAATCAGTATCACACAGTGAAGATTCCAGGGCTTGGCGAACAGGTAAATGTTTCCTCTCCCGTAGGTTCCCCACTCGTGGACACCATGTACGCACATTGTCAAAGACCACTTCCCTGTCTGTGTCGTCCTTGGTGACAGTCAACAGAGATGCAGAGGGAGTCCATGTGCTATGATGGTAAACCACTCATGTCAACAGATACGGTTAGTCATGGCAGTGGTCTAATTTACAACGCTGCTGTTAACAATATTCCAGAAATATCACGGCGAGGAAAAAGAAATGGGCTCCCTACATGGTACCTATGTGCTGAATCGAACCCGTGTCACGAGCAAACGCTTTAACCACCAGGCTACCCCACCGCCCCATGTCGACATGAAATACAAACGACTGATTGTGACTATTATGCAGATCTTTCAATTCCCTCAAATGTCACAGTGAAGCGAACATATGACAGAACATCACACACAAAATTATGATTTCCCTTCTCGACAAATGAGCATCGATTAAGCACCAGCTGTATGCAAGGGTACATTTGAACATTTAACAGGCGTTCATAGCTAAAGTATTAAGAATTAATTATTCTTCACAAGGCACACGAAACAATACGCGATGGCAAGTTTTTGGATTGCATGACGCAATGATGTCTTGATGCAACATTGGTGCTAACTTGATGGTAACAAACCGGTCTTTGGTCGACCTTTGAGGAAGCACGTACCTACCGGTAAAAATAAGGGATGATCCAAGACACTGAAGATCGAGGAGTAGCAATGACCACGATGACCCTGACCTAATTCGTCTGACAAGGCGCGATCGCATGACCGAAGAAATTTCGACAATGGAGAGTGGGAGTATATGTTAGGTTTGTTCTCTAAGGCCACAGTGTTTTCTGGCTCTCTCACGTGAACTATTCTGGAAAGTAATACAGGACAATAATCTTTAGCAACAGTGTTATCTGGACCTCTTACCGCATTAGTATTGCTGCCGTGACCATCTGCCAACCTCCGACCAGCTATGATGTTATTTGAATCTACATGAATGTCTACATTCTTTAATATTTACCGTGATGCAGTTTCATACCTTTTTCAACCAAAATTCTTTTGACCTAAATGTTTGACGAACTCACTCTTTAACATGAGACAATAAATCACTGGTGCTATGTTATTGGATTTAGTGACTGCTTGACCGTTTGCCAAAAAGAAAGGCAAGTGTTTGATTGACGATTTGACCTGTGAGTGTGTGGATGTTGATGGCGCGACAATCAACTGTATGACGATGGTCAACCCTGAAAGGGTAAAGGTCACTGTACTTGTCTGGACAGTGCCTAATTTGATATCCTTCTTGCCAATGGAACACTGCGATACTGTACCACTTGACAGTAGAAGCAATTTAACAGTCAAAGGTTACACAGGTTAAGGTCAATGGGTGCCACTCAGTAAGTTCCACTTTCTGGTTGGTGAATGTTAGGGAGGACCGGGACTATCCTCAGTAGCTCCAGGAGGATATCTCCCAAGCACCTGTGAGACTGAGAGTGACAGAAGACATGTTCTCGCCATATGCCAAACACGTCATGCAGGATCTTAGTCTGAGAAGGACCACCGCTGAAAAGTTCATCCCCGGTCTTCAGTCCAAATCAAAGTATATGATCCATTAGCAGTATCTAAAATTTGAAGATTAAGATTGACCAAAGTCCACTGGATGCTCCAATTCAACCGAGAATATGAGCTGAAAGAATACGTTGAATTTTAACCCCGCATAGTGTAGGTTCAGGATTCACTTTGAAACAGGATTGAAATTGATAAAGAATTCACCCTTCGGCGTATTTTTCGTGGATAATTTACGCAGGTACGTGGATGTGAAGTTAGTTCAAGGATAGAAGAGGGCCTGATTTGGTCAAACGCTCATTTCACGTCCTGAGTATATTTCAACGACAGGTTGGTAGCAGTACACAGATTGCATTTGTATTTGAATTCCATTTTAAAAGTATCCAAGATTTAATTCTACTATTTCTACTAAAACTGCATCACATCTGTTGTGGATCAATACCCCTACCGATTCCTTGTGCTACATCATGCCCATTGGTAACATCTGTGAAGTCATGATGAAAGACTTATTCGACATTTCTGACTTTCCGCCTGTAAACTCCCTCTATTCACTGAAAACAGTAACGTTCTCGAAAAGATGAGATGCATCCCATCCCTATTCTGAAGTATACTGAAAAAGTGGAGAATAGAACCCGGGTCTCCGGCGTCACACACACACGCACGCACACACGCGATCATCCCCTCTTATCTAAATTAGCAAAACTGATGACGCATGACAATTGAAAGTTCTTCATTTATTGGGTGTTTCAAGATATTTTAAGCTCTTCTTGTTTGTGTCTCCCAATACATTGCTCCGGTTGATATTACAGAGGTAGCTAGTGTCACAAAGCACGTGTTCAACAAGGGTGAAGTGCCTCTTCGACAGTTTTATTGGCTTTTGTAGAGTTACGAGGGCCCCTAAAACGTCTTGTACCTGTAGATGCACTGTATCCGTACCAACTATTGTAATTCACAAGATAACTGTAAGGTCTGCAAACGAAAAAGAGGGTTGTTCAAGTTCATGTTCGTCTACAAATTTTACCTTGTTAAGCCAAAATGCTTCTTTTCCCTATTACTATGCTATTTTTTTCTTTACTCTGGATTCAGTTCTTGTTTCTGTAGGAAACAGTTACAGTGGAATGTTTAGACCCGGCGGTGATTCTTCGCTCAAACGAAAGATAGCCTATAATGTGTTGGTTTCATTGCGTTCTTTATATGTCCAGCTCCTTGGGAAAGGGCATAAGGCTGAAACTGTCGAACCGTTCATGGTACAGGACCGAGCAGTTAAATAACAGGTATAATCATGTAACGTGTATTTTCACCCTCATCTGTAGTTTTATTCATAGGATCCTAGTGATTTCTTTGCAGATTGATTTTTTTTCGGGGCAGCAATTATATTTCTTTAATCATTTCCTGAGACAGATTGTTTACAATATTTTAACCAACTGAAACAACTTGTCAGGTCAATTTGACTAGGTATGATGTATACATATACAATAATCCAAGAAAAACCGGGAGATAACAGGGCATGAATAGTCAGCGAGGGAGCTATTAGATAGCTCAGGAGTTAAGACATTCGCACGCTACTTGGGTGTTTATTCTTTGTGAAGCTGATCTTTGAGAGTTTTAGGTCTGGGTGAGGAAAATACAAAACATTGTTACTTCATTTCTTCCACGCTTCCTGCCCCTGTAAATAGATGATGGCAACTGAATGAATGAATGATATATCTATAATTATCTGTAATTATTTTTCACCAGATGCTTCTTTTTATT